AGCTAATGACAGTATTACCTGTTCTTATACTGTGAAATCTTTTAACAGGAAAACTGTAAAAGTGTCTCCTTACGAGTCTATAGTTGTTAATGGTATGGTACGAGGTATTAACCCAGGCGTTGCAAATCTCATAACAGAAAACTTTGACAATTCTAACCTAAAGTTTACAGTCTGACCCAGAGTTCTTAAGGTCAAACAGAATGTGTCAAATGTCAAATTACCAATCAAAATTTGTAACATTACTCCAAAGCCAATAACTATCAAACCTAGATCTACAATTTGTCTCGTAAATGAGGATTTACAATTTAAGGCTCTAGAGTCTGTACCTGAGGAACTGGGTCTTAATATTGACACACAAAATCTTACTGAGGCACAGCTGTTGAGGGTTCGTCAAGTATTGGGTAATTGGAAACATGCTTTTTCCAACAGTGCTTTTGACATCGGATGTACAGACATAGTTAAACACAAGATTGACCTCATGGATGAAAGGCCTTTCAAACAGCCTTACCGGAAAATACCACCCGGCATGTATGAGGAGGTCCGTCAGCATATACGTGATATGCTGGAAGCCGGTGTTATAAAGGAGAGTAAAAGCCCATTTTCCAGTAATGTGGTTCTTGTTCGCAAGAAAGACGGTAGTCTCAGATTTTGTATTGATTACCGCATGCTGAACTCTCGAACCTGTAGAGATGCATATATGCTCCCTCGATATGACGATACAGTTGATACCTTGTGTGGTTCAAGGTATTTTTCAAAGCTGGACCTGGGGTCAGGTTATTGGCAAGTCGAGGTAGAGGAATCCGATAGGGAAAAGACCGCCTTTTCTGTGGGGAACCTAGGATTCTGGGAAACCAACCGGATGGGGTTTGGTCTCACCAATGCACCAGCTACATTCCAGCGATTAATGGAGAAGTGCATGGGTGATATGCATCTCCGGGAATGTCTCATCTTCTTAGATGACATCCTGATATTTTCACAGACTTTTGACGAACACCTCGTTAGGTTAGAATCTGTCTTTGCCAGACTCGTGCAGCATGGCTTGAAACTTAAACCCTCCAAGTGTGAGTTGTTCAAGTCCTCCGTAACATATCTCGGACATGTAGTTTCAGAGCAAGGTATAGCGACAGACCCTGAAAAGGTGTCTGCTGTTAAAGATTGGCCAGAGCCAAAGAACGTAAAGGACTTACGTCAGTTTCTTGGTTTCAGTGGCTATTACAGGCGTTTCATAAAGGATTACGCAAAAATAGTACAGCCTCTTAACCAATTATTACAAGGCCATGACTTGAAGAAAAAGTCCAAGACTGATAAGACTCAAAAGTCTAAGTCCAAGTCAAAGCCTAAAACAAAAGCCCAGTGGGTTTGGGGTACACCCCAACAGGAAGCTTTTGATTTGGTTAAACAGAAACTGATTCAACCTCCTGTTCTTTCCTATGCAGACTTCTCTAAGAATTTCCTTGTACACACTGATGCAAGTGGTTCAAGCTTGGGTGCAGTTTTATACCAAGTGCATGATGGAAAGGAGAATGTTATTGCATATGCCAGTCGAGGTTTGAGAGCCAGTGAACGGAATTATCCTGCGCATAAGTTGGAATTTCTTGCATTGAAATGGGCGGTTACAGAAAAACTTCATGATTACCTCTATGGTAATACGTTTGAGGTTGTCAGATAATAACCCCCTTACTTATGTGCTGGGTAAGGCCAAACTGGATGCCACCTGTCACAGGTGGGTGGCAGCTCTCGCCAATTATAACTTTACTCTGAGGTACCGAGCTGGGAGAAACAATGCAGATGCAGATGGTCTCTCTAGAATGTCTCAAATTCAGCCCGATGCTGTTCAGGCTATATGTCAATCAGCAGTCTCTGTGACTCCATTAGCGGATAGCGTGTCGGATGTTGCTGTGGCTCATGTGGCCAATGAGTTTACAGCGAAACCCGATACTCTTAGCCTAGTAGATTGGAGAAAGGAACAAAGGGTTGATCCAGACATTGCCAGGGTTTCAGACCTTGTGAGAACCGGTTTTCATCCAAGGGGGAAACCATTACACAATGAGTCCCCATATGTAGAGGAACTACTGAGAGCTTGGAGCAGGTTATGTTTGCGCGACAGAGTTCTCTATAGAACCGCTTCTCTCGACGGTCAGAAAGTAAACCAGCTTGTTCTGCCAAAACATTACCATTCCCTAGCAATTAAAGGTGTTCAGGATGATGTTGGACATCAGGGAAGGGAGAAAACTCTTTGGCTGGCACGGCAACGCTTTTACTGGCCTGGTCTTGAGAAAGACGTAAACATGAAAGTTGAGACTTGTGGTCGCTGTATCAGACGTAAGACACCAGTGAAAACAGTCGCTGAGCTAGTTCCAATAGAATCCTCAAGGCCACTTCAGATACTTTGTATTGATTTTCTAAGCCTTGAGAGATCCTCGAGTGGGTATGAGAATATTCTGGTCATAACTGATCACTTCACCAGATATGCGCAGGCAGTGCCTTGTCGCAATCAGACAGCACATACAACAGCTAAGGCATTGAACGAAAAGTTCATAGCCTATTACAGCTTTCCTGAGCAGCTTCAAAGTGATCAAGGTCGTAACTTTGAGAGCAAAGTTATTACGGAACTCTGTAAGATCGCAGGAATTCAGAAGACTAGAACCACTCCATATCACCCACAAGGAAATGGCTCAGCAGAAAGGTTAAATTGAACACTCCTCGGGATGCTAGCAACCCTTGAGGAGCGCAAGAAACCTGACTGGACATATTACGTGGCACCGCTTGTCCAAGCCTACGATGCAACAAAGAGTGATGCCACTGGATACGCACCTCACTATTTGATGTTTGGTTGGCATCCTCGGTTGTCAGTAGACGTATTCCTAGGAATAACCCCTGATCAACAGGGAGCAGTAGACCCGGCATCCTATGTAGGGAAGCTTCGGGGCCGTATGGAGTTTGCGTACGAGACAGCTCGTCGCACCGCCTCCAGGAAAGCTGCTCAGAACAAAGACCATTATGACAGGTCAGTTCGGGAGTCAAAACTAGAGGTTGGTGATCGTGTTTTGGTAAGAAAAACCGGTCTTAAAGGAAAGAACAAATTGGCTGATAAGTGGGAACAGGAACCCTATTTGGTAATTGGTATTCCAAATAGTGATATTCCCGTTTATAAGGTTGCACTTGAATCCAAGAAGAGACCCAAACGAACCCTCATAGGAACATGTTGCTCCCTTTTAACTCCATTCCTGTGGATGCTCCCCCTAAGGATGATAATCGCAAGGTTAGACAAACCAGAAAGTCAATCCCTTCTGAACGAATAGATTCAGAACCAACTTCCTCATCTCAGGATTCTGATTCAGGATCAGATTCTGTGCTCCTTCCTGTTGTGACAAGGCGCTCTACTAGACAGTTGAAAAACCGTGAGCCCCACAAAACAACAAACACGATACCAACAACTGTATCAATTGTTGAGCCAGGTACACTAGAACCTGAGAGACAAGATTCTGTTATGGAAATGGTAAATGAAATAGATCCATCCCATGATTCCGTACAGGAAGTGGATTTAGATTCCATCTCTATAGCAGAAAATGTCAATGTACTGGACGAGGGTATAAACAATCCAAGTACAGAAATTCAACCTGTATTACGGAGGTCAACTCGGCCTTCCAAGCCACCGGAGCGTTGGGGCTATCCGGTTTTCTCATTGCAAGCTGCCAATACAGAGTCTGATGAGATCTTCGTATGAGGATCGACATACCGATTGTGAAATTTTATTCGTATATATTTTAATGTATTGTTTTAATGAATTATATTACTTTTACTCACCGGAATAGAAGTACCGGCTGGTAGGGGGCTCCCCAACCGCTGGGAAGGTACCACGGGAGTGGTTTTTGTATTTTAAACATCATACTGTGTTTCAACCCCATTTTTATCTTTTATTTTATTCATTATCCTTCTATCCATTTGTTTTTGTAAGACCTACCCTGTTGTCAGGTATGGGGCTCCCAAACCGTCAGCAGTGGTTTGTCATTTTACATTAATATTCCCGATTTCTTGTTATCACTTGCGAATGTGATTATATAGATTTCATTGCTGGATTTTCATCTCATTCAGAGTGTATATAACCATAATTATATTGTACATGCTAATCAGAACTTGATCCTTCATCGTTGACATTTAAAAGTATTTTTGTCAAGGGTAGGGAACTGATTATTTGAGCATAGTTTAATTAGTTCCTCCTGCAAAGATGGTTCTTACCTGTGCTTTGTTCAAGTTGTTTGGTGTTATGAGTCTTAAATATTATAAAGTCAATCATATAACCATCCATTTAAAGAACACTATTGTTTCTAGAGCAATAGTCTCTAATTATAACCCTTTATCAGTGCATATATGATGGGTAATAACTGTTTGAGAAATGCCAGGAGACATTTAACAAAGTGGGGGAGTATGTATCCAGGTGTTCAAATACATTATTCAAACCATCGCGCGTAATAGCAGTGTTCAGGAATGTGTGTATGTGCACGTGCAGCACGGACCACCCGTCCACATCCCAGTCACCGCCTTCTCCCTACTTCACGCTGACTTTACCTCTCGATGGGAACACACGGAACCATCGAGAGTGTAATCCAGTCACATTGTCCTTACACTGGATGTTCCTGGTAAGAATGTATGTGTGTAAGTATGAAAGAGTATAATTAAACATAATAATCATTCGTCATATTTCATCAATTGTATATATATCCATTATTACATAGGATGAGCGATGTATGAGTGATTATGTATGTTTATTCATTATATAGGTTTATTGTCCACGGAATAAACATATCATTGAACTGCAACGGGGTGGATTGTTATTATTGAGAACCTACGTTACAATAGTTTAGGGTATATCAAATTGATCCGTACGTGTATGCAATATTGATTAACGGTTATTGAAAATTAATGTTAAAATGAATACTATATATGATGTTTTTTATCCATGCCACCATGAAAATAAAATAGATAAAACGTAATATGTATATGAATTGACATTTTAATATCAACTTTTTATAAAAGTAGAATCATATGATAATTTGAAAATGGATATCACAACATTCAGCTTTGACAATTTAACATGACATTTTATAACATTTATAAAATGATGATTTGATGCATAGATTCTTGAATCAATTTCAACCTCCGCCTACAGTTTCGGACTTGAGCGAAGGAAGTAGTTTTGCTCAAGTCCATGATTAATGTGTTAGAGAGGTGATAACATATCTTATTTGATGATCTATTGCATATCTAACAATTTGATAAACAAACTTATTAAATAACATGTTTTTTTCTGACTATGGACGGAATCGCTGACTAATGATTCTTACAATCAATCGGGAATCGTCGGCACTTTTCGTAAACGAGAAATAACACTGAAAATATGTACCGAGTGCAAAATTACATAATAGTGATCATTACTCATTCCCGGTTTCTAGACATGTTTATTTGAATTGTCTATCTGAAAAGATGTTTTGTTATTTGCGATAATCCTATAAAAGACCTATATTCCTAATGTGGCACATAACACAGAAAACCAATGATCACCATTAATTCTTAACGAGTTGTCTCCCCTACCGATACAAAACCATTATTTCAGACATCTATTGTATAGAAATCGTCTGATCTTCCGGATCTGATTTTTCTGATAAGTATTTTGGCGTTACTCCAATTGTCTGAAAATGTTCGTACCTACAACTTCAGTTTGTAGATCACATTGTTTGTTGATGTCCATAAACCACTTTGTACGTAAACCGAACGTAACCCCGGATAAGCATTCGGAACGACCGCGGCCGATTAGTCAACTGTTATCTGTAATCTGTAATTTCCTTTGATGATATATGTATTTTCGAAGCTAAGCCTGCCGGAGAAAAGTACAAAACTACGGTAGGTAATTCATCGTAACATGAAGAAATACACAGGGTTTGTTGATACAGGTTCAAAATTACCAAGTGTCCGCCGTGGACAATAGCACCGTATCTAACAGTGTTAAACTTAATTCGGCACGTACTGCGATGTACGCTAGCACCAATATTGACTCCACTGGATGGAAATTTGCCGCAGTTTATGACTTTTAAACTTCAGTGATCAAAGTGACGTCATCTTCTCAGTATTTTGGCGGTGGACCTGTGTAGGGAGGAGGGTCAGTAGGCCCTAGATCACCGGATTGTAGTACGTAACCAGGAGGGGCCGCGGATGGAGGTCGATAGGGAGGGGCTGGCCCAGTGGGTAGGGCATGAGGCATGCTCTGGTAACTGGAGTAAGGTGGTGGCATTGCCATCATCCCGGGTGTCTGAACTGTAAAGAGAATGGCACAGAAACATAGTTATCGAATAGTGGTATGAAACTGAATTATAGAAATCTGATTCTATATTATTGTATAGTGTTACGAATTTGATTTACAACAAATGTGGTTTCTGTTTAAAAGTATACTGTAACGATTACATATTATATCTCTCGGTTAGTTGCGATGAAAGTAATGAAATCTCCCCACATATCCCCAAAATATAAATAAACTAGCAAATGCCTGTAAGGCATACAACGGGCCTGCTCATGGATCCGGATGGGACGGGACGGGACGGGACGCGACAGGACGAGACGGGACGCTACGCGACAGGACGAGACGGGACGCGTAGGGGCGGGACGGACATTGGCGACACTATATGCCCCCCCCCCCCCTCCCCTATTTTAGTGCGGGGGCATGAAAATAAACTTTATTTTACAACAATAATGAAACAAGTTATTTCAACTTATGTTAATTAATCTTGTTAGCCTTGATGTTAGCGCGCAGGTGTATTACTGTTGGAGGAAACCGGAGTACCTGGAGAAAATCCACGTGGTCGGTCAGGTGCCCCATACCTTTTCACTTCCGATCGGGGAATCGAACCCTTGCCGCCTTGGTGAAAGACAATTGCGGTACCCACTGCACCACCCAACCGACCAAAATATTCCCCTCTTCGTGGAAATAGCAATTTCGTTTCCGTATACTTACTGATTGTAATGTTCCCCGATGTAACTTGGGGCTGGGATTGTAGGGGTCGTACCACCCTCCTCGATCGGAAGTAATGAGACTTTAAACAACACGCCAAAATTCCGATTATCACTGCAATACATATCACTCCGCCCACAATCGCTCCTGCCTTAGTTCCATCACTGAAATCAACAAAACGTGGTAATTCAAGAAGTGTATATTGTCGTTCATTTAATTTATAAATCATATAACATCTGCTTAAAGCTTTCCTTTGTAAAAATATATACAGAAGATAATATTAACAGACTTGATATTCTCCTCTTACATAACTCAACGTTCATACGTTGATATATATATTTATGTATAGAAAATAAAACGCCGTAGACTAAATCTCGCTATTAAATCGCCAACGTGGCGATAGACAAATACTGACAGTGTAAGGGTTTTACAGCATCGTGCTTCCTATTGTGAGATGCAGTGTTCTCAGATACACGGTAAATAGTTTAATACGTGCTTTGAGCTGCAATACTATGGCATTGGCAATATTTATGAAATTTACACAGTATTAGGATATTTACGGTATATGGAATAACAAAGAATAAGGGTATTGACTGTTTAATGTTTTACAAAGTGTAAGGATATTTACGATATATAGTGTTACATAGTTTATCAGGGTATTTACGGTATATGGTGTTACAAAGTACAAGGATATTTACGGTATAAGGTGTAACATAGTATAAGAATATTTACGGTATAAGGTGTTACATGGTACAAGGATATTTACGGTATACAATGTTACATAGTGTATCAGGGTATTTACAGTATATTGTGTTACAAAGTATAAGGATATTTACGGTATAAGATGTTACATAGTATAAGGATACATGGTACAAGGATATTTACGGTATAAGATGTTACATAGGATAAGGATATATACGATGTAAAGTGTTACATGGTACAGGGTTATTTGCGGTATAAGATGTTACATAGTATAAGGATATATACGATATACGTGTAACATGGTACAAGGCTATTTACGGTATAAGATGTTACATAGTATAAGGATATATACGATGTATAGTGTTACATGGTACAAGGCTATTTACGGTATAAGATGTTACATAGTATAAGGATATATACGATGTATAGTGTTACATGGAAACAGGCTATTTACGGTATAAGATGTTATTTATATACTTACTAGGAACAACAGTATCTGTTTTGAGAGTAACCACAACAGGAAGTATCACAGTAGTTGTATCCGGTCTCGTGCCTGCGATATTTGTAGCTGTAGTAACTATAGTAACAGTAATCCCAGCCGTAACTCACTGAAAGTAAAAAAAAAAAAACCTCAAAATCATGTAATATCTAAAGAGTTCCACTTATTAACCTCTAACGCTATGGTTTACCTCTGCTACCAAGGGCAGTAAATATATACGTGCGAAGATCAATGACTCCTATCGTATGGTTACAGCACAAATCAGCGATGTCAAATCGATAGTGTTTATTCTGTATAGACTTTATGCATGTATGTATTAACGGTACATATTACCTGCCTAGATTTCATATTACCCTGGTCTCTAGTCCAGGTAGATGTCTAGTGTGGGACATATATCTGTCAAAATGTCTCAGTCTGGTGTCAGGGCCAGAGGTAAACTCGGGCTACCTGCTCTCGGGCTCAGGAATTATGAACACAAGCATGGATGAAATATGAGACCATGGTTTCTGCATACACTTAACATCTCTTTTAATATAGTACAATGTCGATAGTTCTATCTACGCATTGTAATACTACTTTTGCGACCATCTGCAGTATTATTATTTTTTTATTTCCTCCAAATTGAAGAGTTACAAAAATGTACAGTGTAGTCAAAATACAAATCAAATATTATTAATTGATACTTAAATGCACATAAATACATCAGTTAACTACAGAGATGAAGAGAGAAGTTAATAAATCTTGAATTAGTTTAGTAAGTACAGAAAGAATGGTCTCGTTAACAGCAAATTATACAAAAATAGAATGCCTGATAAAAAATAGTAATTAGGTAGACATTGCTATTGTACGTACATTTGTACGTGTTATTTCATTATTAACGCTGATACAACAGCAACATTTTGTCAATAAAAATAGCACTATGCAGTACAAAGGTTACATAATCAGATGAGCTTAATATGTTGGGAAGGCTACCTACCCCCAAGTAATATATGAATTAAATCATAATCAGACAAAGTGTATAAGAACACGCTAAATTCTATATCAAAAGCCGTACTAATAAGTCTGAAGCATCACTAGGGAAGGGCAATCATTTCTTAAATAAATGAGGTTGGTCGAGCCCTGAGGCCCGGGGGGCGGGGCCCTGAAAGGGAACTTAGCTATATTTGCTTTAAAACGCATCTCCTCCTAAACGCCAGAGAAGATTTCAACCAAATTTGCTCTGAAACTTCATTGGGGGAGGGCAATCATTTCCTTAATAAATAAGACTGGTTTGACCCCTGGGGCTAGGAAGACCGGGCCCCAAAGAGGAAAATTATCTAATATTTTGCTTTAAGACGCTAATATCCCCTAATTGCCTGCAAACATTTCTTAATTGATTGAGGTTGATTTGACCCCTGCGGTCCTAAGAATTGGTACAGCTAGATTATCATATTCTATGGTGTAGTTTTTATAAATTGTTAAAAATTGGTTTCTAGGTTTATAAAAGCTTATAGTTTATTGAAAATTAAAGTATTGTCTAATTACACCCTGTAATATGACATATTACTTATTTCAAAATCTGTTCACATGGCAACTCAATGGAGGCCACTGATTAGTTGAAAGTCAGATATTGTGGTCCCAGTTGGGTTAGAACATATATCTTGTCTGAATTTGAGCAAATTTCATATAAAGATGTACTAATGCATTCAGTTGTAATGACTTAAATATAAAACCAGATGAGCGATACAGGTCCAATGGACCTCTTGTTACAAAGTTACTACATATATATATGTCATAGTAATATATATATAATATCCAGACTGTACAACAATAGAGGTCTTCAGTAGATTTTAATCATTCAATTATTATATTATAATCTCTTAAATCGTTCAGTACCATTTACAATGTATATAGTATTGGACATTAGTTTAAATAAGTTCATTAATATCATACGCCAGGGTATTATCACCTGAGGTTAACAGAGTTCAATTAGAATAACCAATACGGTCATGAAATTCATGAATTAAATACCAAGAATTAGAGTAATTGGGACAATTCTGGCATTACAATGCTTTTATCATGTAATTTCAAAAGTAATACGCTCGTATCGAACTCAAGCCAAGGTGTCTATGCTAGGAGTCGAACCCGGATCTACATATTTCTAGTCCAGTGCTTAAGTGACTGAGCTGGGCCAATAAATGTTTCTGCACTTCGAGAAACATGTAATAGGTATACAGTGTATTTAAAAAAAAAATGCGGAATGACGCGGCGTTCTGATTTAAATCCGTTTTAAATGTCAACCTTATTTCATACTTCATTACATAAAAGGAAATTTTATAAAGTGTTACTCGAACCGGAATAGTATTTTTTAACTGCTGACGATGTTTGTACTGACATCACCGGTAAGTATTTACATGGTTTCTATGGATACGGGTAAACAAATCGTGTCACAGTGGTACAGGAATATATACGTTATTTTTATTCTGCATATCGTTTTCATTCAACATTATTTGATTGACTCTAGTTCCATATCATCAAATATTTAACAAATAGTTTATGGGGGTATCAATGACAGCCTTATAAATATTTAAAACATAGTCTTATTGTGTTTAACGTGTGCTAGATTTTTTCTTTAAAACGTTCATCTATACTTAAATTTCAAATTACCTTATTTATTATGTTACAAATGTGTTTAAAAGTTTAAAAAGTGGTCGGACATATGTGTACCATCCTCGCAATCCACGGTTTATATATTTTAATATAGGTATCGAGACCGGACCCTTGAGTTTCGAAGATGGGTGTGTTTAAGACCTGGGGTTATGCACTAGTCCCTTTAGTTGAGCGTTCGCCCCTGTGAGGAAGGCTTTGGTTTCTGTCCCCTGGCCGAAACATTCTAGAGTCTGTAAAAATGGAAGTTTCTACTCCAGCTTAACGCTCAGCAATTTAGGAGTGGGACGACTGGTTCGCCCGTTGTCAGTATAATGTGACCGGGTGGGATGTCCTACCGGATGTCTTCGGCAGTATGTTTCAGTGAGGTAGCACTATAAAGTCGGCATCAGTTCCGCGCTATCACAAGGAGACAAACACAAACATATCACAGCCTCCCAAAACACACACGCATACACTACACGCATGCATCTTGCACACATGGGAGGCCGTCCTTAAATGACCATAGCTGTTGATAAGACGTTAAACAATGCTAAACCAAACTAAAATCTGTACTAAAGTATGTCTTTCTGCCCAGCTGGTTCTATAAAGGGTCAATAACTGATAACTAAATATACAACGTAACAGCAAGTGTGTACGTTACCCGGAGGGTCTTTATCTGACCGTTCTCAGTGGGAAAAGATTAATTGAAATTCTTGTCCAAAATAATATTAGATGTTTACATCGTTTCCTCGAAGAACTGTAGACATGCATGTGACCGTTATTTGTACAACAATATTGAAGATAAACATCAAAAATTTATACAATTGCAGAAACTTACAGCTATTACGACATATATTTGTCCACATGTACTTGTGACGTGTACACAAGTTTACTAGTATAGATAAGCGGCGTTTACACGCACACATACCTAAAACTCTATTGAAAACAGATATATATTCCATGATAAGTTTCTAGAGAGCTGGGATATTGACTATGTGTAAAACTCTTCAAAATTAGTTTAAGAACAAAATATATAAATAAAGAATTATCAAATATTAAATGAATAGTGTAATGAATTTTAAAAGACAAAAATATTGAAGGAAAAACGTGAATAATATTAAATATAAAGTAAATCCGCCATTATACAGTCACAGATCACTTATCTGCATTTTGTTTACACTTGTAAAAAATGTTTATATATCTCCAGGTATGTGATGTGTTATTTTTTTTTTACAAAACTTTGTTTGCCTCTCCCCCCGTCATNGATGGAGGAAGAAAATGACGGGGGGAGGGGCAAACAAAGTTTTGTAAAAAAATAATATTAGATGTTTACAGCTGTCATGCGGAAACATGACAGCTCCCCTTTATGCATGTTGTACATACCTGATGCAAGACTGAGTAAAATAAAGAGGATTTCCAGCGCCATGTTTAATCCTCTTGTCGTACTTCTGTAGACTTTGGAACACACAAATTCATATTTGTAAATAAAGTTTGTTTTTTTATGAAACGCGAATCAGCGTGACTAAGTAAGCTTTACATAGTGACGAGTATGCCGTCAATGGCCAACACGGTTTGTGTTTATTACCAGTATATATATGTGTGTATTTATGTCTAGGTAAACAAACCTTTAAAGCCAGAACAAGCCCGGGCACATAAAGTCTGGCAGATCGATATGATTTGTTGTTCGAGAGCTCGTTGAATAGGTGCCTTGTTGAACATAAAGCTTTTACCTTTAAACTGTAAACTTTACCTGTGTCGATCTTATCATGCTAGACGGTCGATCGTTGTTGAGTTTCTTCCACAAATAAGTTAAAAGGACAGGGTTGTGTTAAAGGAATGACATTTTCATTTGTGCAATTACTTTATAAAATACTTTTTGCACCGTTTGAATACGACAATACCTTAATGCAAATTTATAGACGCTGTGCACGAAACAGCTACTGTGTCTGGGTGATTTTAATATCGATAGTTATTCTGGCGTGCAATTACGTATTTAATTTTATTGTGAGGTATTACTTTGGATTATAGATTGTCTTTTGATGTTTATTGTGATGCAAAAGTTAAGTGAATGTTCTGTTATAGGTGATACAGGTCAATGACATGCAGGTATTCGAAAGATCAAATGGGACAAGAACGGATTCCAAGTGATTTTGGTGATATTATATTTCAAAATTGGCTAAATATAAAGTGAATGAACGATGCATCATGAAACTTCTTCTCTCTCTCTCTCTCTTTCTACATGTAAATAATATATATATAACATACACGCATACATATATATACATGTGAACAACTTTATATTACCATATATAATGTTTGTATGTAACACTATTTACTTAAATGAATGAACATCATAAATATTGTAAAATCAGCAAAATGTTACATTACTACAACTTACTATTGGCCAATGTTGAGTGCAAATGCCGAACTATTCATTAACTTTTTAAATTTATTTCACTTTTTGTATTTCCGGAAAGTTGACGTGATTTCTGGAACTCAGATGTTATATTTTGCTACGAAATTAAAGAACAGGGGAATTTATATCTTTCAATCAATGAAGTATTTCTGGGAGTTATTCTTATTATAGTAACAATAATATAATATTTTATTTTAATTTCTATAGTACCATATTTTGCAAAATGTGCACTTTATTCAAAAGATAGAAAAATGTAACAAGGGAGGTAACTCTAACAAAATGAACGGAGTCAAGTGTACTGTAGAACAGATTACGAGCAACATTCACTAAACTACATGCTTATAACTCCATTTCTGTTGGAGAGAAATGCAAAATTAATAAATAGATTGAGTCAGTGATGTGTTGCTTCCTATTAATATTTAAAGTTACCCCCCCCCATTTTTTAACGAAGTCTGCAAGCATAATTATAACCCTGTTAGTGTAAAAAGAACTCGGAAGAACATTTTCGTTAATGTAGGCTTTAGTTTGGTATGTTAGCCAAGTACAAATACACTTTCTGAGTACCGAATGCCACCAGTATCGACTGGGGGATTTGCTTTTTACTGAATGTGCCAAAAAACAAAATTGTTCATTCATCGAGGCATTTTGTTTTGTAATTTCATATTTCCTCACTCCCGACCTTCTAGGAGTCGGTAAACATCTTTGGTTATCGTCTAGTGGGTAACACCCTGGAGGTTATTTCATCTGTCAATCTTCTAACTATTACGTCAAGTAACAATGCTTTGGGATGTCATAGTTTATGACAATTGTTTTTCCACGATCGGAAACAGGAATAATTTAATCACACAAGAAACGCTTGAACGTCGAGGAAGAAAAAGGTCCCCAAAATCGCGATGGTTGAATATCATGTTTATCTAATTCTCGTTAAAATACTTTCAAATTGTTAACGACACTCAATAAACCCCCTGTCTTTATAGATTTTGAAAAGTTTAGCTAACTCGAGTTCGATAAACATGCGAACTAACCATCATTCGTAAGGTAACCTCTATGCCCAAAATTATAGTTAAGACGTGGAGTTTAAATGAATGTAACTTCTCCTCCAGCCAAATTAGACGTTGAAATCAGAATCGCTTCTTCTACTTTTGCTTGCATACTCTTTCATGCAATGACTTAATTGAGCACCATGTTCTAAAACATTTGCCCGTTGGTGTTGGAAGTTGTATTAAATTGCACAAGCGCTTCCAGCAATGTGCAATATAACATGAAGTCAACAACCGGTACCTCGGGTAAAACAAATTTGACTACAAGTATAACGATAGTGAGTCTTCATATACATAAGGTCATATTACCCTACAGGATATTAAGAAAAAACATAATCGGAAACATGTTGCTTGTAGGTATATAAGATATTATTGATTATCTAATTTTTTTGTATTTCATTTGACACCAATGGGCTTCCGTAAAATATTTATTTTACAATAATTATGAAACAAATCATTTTAACTTATGTTAATCACTCTTTTTTGTCCGGATGATAGCGCGCGGGGGNGGGGGGGGGGGGGGGGGGGGGGGGGGGGGGGGGGGGGGGGGACCCAAATTGCTTAAGTAAGCTTACGACTCGGATCCGACTATACTTTCTGAACCCTTTAGAGAATCCTCTGGAAAGCAGCCTTTACTTCTTTCAATAACAGACCTTTTTGGACAGAACATTGTCCACACACAATTATTTATACAGACAAATGCGGTCGTTAATGGTATTTACAATTGTTCTCAGTGCAGTTGTGCTTAGCAAACACACGCACCAGGGTCACATTTTTCATGGTGTGTCGGGACGGTAACGACTATTTTTATTGATTTATTGTGGTACATGTATTTCTAGTTTGCATGAACTAATGTCAACATACAACCACGAAAAGAAGACGGTTAATGAGAAAGTTATCACGCCAATCGGACAATGCTATCGGCAAAAAAAACGTACTGACATAAACAAATTCATCGTCTCGTCAGTCTTAGACAGCAAACGAGCCCTGGACAAAGACTGATGCGTGTCAACAACATAAGTTAAGGATCCCTGTCCAACTGACGGTAAAACAAAAGAGAATTCCACTGTACAATCCTCGATGCGTAGTTTAAGTGTATAGGCAGTGGTTCGCGGATCTTTAAGTCTTCAACCACACAAAGGGGTTCTCCTTAACTGAACAATCAAGCATGTCTCATTTGACCATTGCCTTTTCGTGAGCACACATCGGCCATTCAGTATACCAAGCAATACACTTGGAAGCAATAATGGAATTCCGAACGAAATCATTTTATTGCTCAGCGGTTTTTTTCTTTATCAAATTGTGCACGGGACAGCACAGCCAGCCATGCTTGGTCAATCAATTGAAAATGCAGGAGAACTTCACTATGGATGCTTTCCAAGGGGAATGGTATGTGATATCCATGCGAAACCAAAGAACGGCACAGAATGGTGCGGGTTTATTGGATTCCAATATACGACACCGGTATTCGATGGGATCCTATGGAACACTCACCTTTGAAACAAGTAAGTAAGGGAGAACATTAAAGAGCTATGGCGGAAAACTGCCCATATTTCCCTAAGTCGGCATTTATGAAAACGGAAAAAAATATTAATGAGTAAATAATTTCTAGCAGCGAAAATGCATAGAATCGATATAAAACCAATTGAATATGAATTTTCGAACTGCTGAGATATTAGGTATTGTTAATATGATACTGCAAATATAGACATACTCACTATATCTATGAAAGTGATGGGGTTTCCCAGACTTAAAAAAAAAATACTTTCAAATACGGGAAAATTCATCGTTGTAGACAGTCTCGTTTGTTTGAAATGCAGGAAGACTGCAGCACAAATTAAGGATCGCAATACACGTGTAAGACATGCTATTCGAAAATGATATACATCATTTTGCCATTGATAGGTGCAAGAAAAACAAAATCAAGATGTGTGTTTTGTAAGAAAGCAGGTAACGTCATGACCTTGAATTCGTCTGTTTACATTAATCTATTATTACACGGTGACACGCGAGCACTAGCGGTCTCAGGGTTGGGGAAATAGGCATAGCAACCCGCCATAGCTCTTCGATAATATAAACTTTATTTATTTTACAACAATTTCGAAACAAGTTTCACAGCTGAGTACCCGGAGAAAATCCACGTGTTCGGGCAGATGACATACCACAAACCTTTTCAAGTCTGATCGGGGACTCGAGCCCCAGCCGCCTTGGCGAAAGGCAAGTGCGCTGTTCACAGCGCAACCCGATCACCCCCAATTTCTATCAAATACATTTCAATATGCTGACGCTGTTATTTTGTGTTGTTTCTATTTTGAATAATTTGTTTAACTTACATTTCGGCTGTGCAACAATTAGATACTCTTGAAAGGAACACGTATAAAGTTATTAACCAATTACTACAAAAAACTTTAAAACTGTACACATGAATATTTTCTATTCAGAAACCGTTTGGGTCTGTCTTCCCTCTTATTTCAGGGGTAAACGGGAACGTTTGATTTCCGAGTACACTAAAAGTAAACGTGACTTAAAACTAAAGTTTTTACGATATTAAGCTACTTAAATATTCTCTCAAAAAAAGATGCTTATACTCTTTGTAGGTTAAGAACCAGAAATAGTAACTTACCTGTAGAAGCCGCAATTAGGAGTAATATACCAAGACATGAACGTATTTGTCAATTGTGTAATGTAAGAGATATCGGAGATGAATTACATTATATATTTGAATGTCCGTCATTAGATAATGAAAGGAAACTTTCTCTATCCTCTATGTTAATTAGACGTCATAGTATATTATCGCTTAAGGTTATAATGTCATCTAAAAGAAAAGCATTCCTGAAAAAAATATGTACTTTTATCAAAACAAATAATTCTGTCTGTTCCCCTGCATGAAAGTATTTATTATATGTAACTGCAGTACATCTCCGTTTCTATCATACTGTATCCCTCTATATAGCAACGCATGCTAATTACTGTACATGAAATCTTTATATTTATATATCTCAGTATACCATTGCAATGCAAAGGTGTTGAGACAAAATAAAATCAATCAACCACCAAAACATGACACGTTCTTAAATGACCATAGCTGTTAATAGGACGTAAAACACAAACAAACCAAACCAAAATCTGTTAAAAAAAAAAATAATGTTATATAGTTTATAGCCCCATTTACACTGGTTTGTGTTTATGCTCTATCAAGTTATAAAAAATAAAGACGTATTTTGATTATTTCCTACACAAATCGCTTCTTTCTTCTTTACAAAAAAATAGTCATCTTTCATCAGTCAAACTTATCTGCGACCATTTTTTTACAATGGAAATTCAAGTATTACATTTGATTTGTTCGGTTTACTGTATCAATACACAAAATGTTTGAGAAGGTGTTCACCTCTTGTTTTTAATGATTATTTATTTGGATTCTGTATCGACCCACCTTTTTGAAGAGAAACTATCATGCTTATTGTTAAAGTTTGTAAAGTAAAAATTATAGTTGGAGACAGCTAGGAGACAGGTGAGAGCGAGACAGAACGACAGAGACCGATGCTAACACAAGTGGTTACCAGAATAAACTTCCACCCGAACATCAACACTTTGTTCAAGAAAGAAATAGTATTGATACATTTATATAAATCTGTTACCTTTCATTGTATGGGAAAGTGGCATGAATAGGGATGCTTTACATTGGAAGTGAGAAGAGAGTTGAGGAAATGCGGTGTAAAATATGGTACATGTACAAAATATAATATATTTAGGAATTCGGAGCATATTGTGGTCACGACAAATCTTTCTGTGACGTCGCTTGTATTACTAAGGCTGAACGTTGACTAACAGACAATTCAAAAAATACGTACAAAGTATATGTATATAAATAAAATCGTTATATATAGACAAGCTGCAATATAATGCGGATTTTAAATGCTCATATTTCGTGTTCATTGGGATTATTCTTGGTATTTAATATTGTGTTTCCGGTTTGTTTTTATCTAAACACGTATATACATGTATTGGCGATATTTGCCGGTGTCATTGCTATACAATTCGGAGCACCAATTCAATATGGCTTGTCAATTTAACTATTATTATTCAAAAGTAATCCTGAGCTTTTTATGAGCTTGACTACGATGATAATCAATTCATTTCAAAGTTCAAAATAATTAAAAAACAACCTTTCATCTCCGGGTATTTTTTTGTTTTAGATCTCCAGCGTGTATGGTTTGGTTGCACGCGACTTGAAAGCACAGCTATACCGGATCCCTATTCAAATATGACGAAGTTCACGATAATGCAAACCAATGTACCAGTACGACAGCGTTGGGTCGGTAGGAATCTGTGGATCGTCCGCACCGACTACACAGGGTTCGCCGTCATCTACTCCTGTGATTATGTGCGTATAGACGGAACTTGCGACCAAGCATTTGTTTACACTTTGAATAGGAATAGAAACGGACACACACCAGAAGAAATGAGCCAAATCAACGAAGTTATGACGGCAGTCTGCGTGCATCCATCGACTCTTTTACCCATAGTCCAAAATGGCGGGTGTGCCTTGAGCTCACAAGGAGGCAACCTATGGGGCGGAGCCAGGCAATGGATGAATAGGTGGCGCGGCTTCTGAATGGGAGCAAATTGGTGACGTAAAAGCTGACGTCATCACGTAAACTATTAAACTGTGACTATTCCTAGTGGCACTCTCAGCCATTTTATATCCGATTTAGATGGAGTTTACTCTGGTGCTGGTTTGGGATGTTGGCTTTGCGTATGATAGTATTTATTTTCCGTGTTAATTTACGATCTAACTACAAATATGATTAAATGTTGAATCACAATCATGTTTTATTTGTCTGTTTAGACTGCACTGAGCATGCCTGTTGATGTATATAACACATCAACTTGTCGTCGTCGTCGTCGTCGTCGTCTTCGTTGCCGTTGTATGTTGTTGTTATTGCACATTATCGTAAAAAGATCTAAAACCCCGTCAAATAATATAAAATTTCAAAATTTTGGTTATTAAGTGTTAAACAAACCTAAATTCAGCTCAACGATTTTCTAAGACACTGCTCAAGAAACAATATAATCAGTACTTACGTATTCAATTACAGGACGATATCAAGCGTGAAATACGTTGCAAGTCGCTGGACATTTCTATGTGCTAAAAAATTCTGTGAACTTAAATAACGTTGCCATTCTGAAATCACCCAAATTGTAAAGACGTAAAACAGAAACTCAAAAAGACAGATACGTAACTTAATTTTAATCATCCCTTCGTTTAACAAACACTCACATCTAAATGGTCGAATTTTCCTCAGCCTACACAATTAGTTTAAAAAACCTATAAAGTCATGCCGACCGGAAATGAAAAACAGGCATCTAAGGATTAACCTTTTATTTTGTTTTGTTTAAGAGATAATAAATCCAATGGAGCACGAGGTAAATTGTGCGTTTACGAAAAATTTACCGACTGCTCCATTGGATTTATTATCTCATAAACTGAACAAAGTAAAAGTTAAATCCTTATATTTACAATATTTTCTTATGACAATAACACCATTAAAAGAGTCGGATACAAGCATTTACCTTGTGTAATCTGCGTTCAAAACTATTTTGACGTCATTGTTAATCCATGCGCAACAGCCATTGACAACAAAAGGAAATAGTTCCTCCATTTCATTATGTTTATTCACATAAAATATCCATATTTTTTTTTATACAATATCTTCATAATTGTATTAGAAGCTAATGGGATAAATAATTTTATATTTGTATGGAATTGGGGCAAAATACTAAGTAGAAAATACTAATGACCGCGTACATCAATCGTTTGAAAGTGATGCGCACAAAGGCGGGAAATAGAGAGTGCTACCATGTCGTCTAGCAATAGTGACTAGCCTAGGCCTGGTGGAAATTGAATGTGCAGTTATTGAAATTGCTGCTTGTAAGCATACCAGAGGTTTGTACAGATGACATGTATGATGTGGATAAATCGTTTGTCGGCCGAGTGACTTTTGGGAGACGAGAAATTTGCCCTACATTTCCAGGAACAATAGCCATCGTTTCTGTGTCATGGCGGCCGACACTCATAGATGAGAGAGTGGAGCTGATGGAGCGTTTTTGTACCGACAAACAATCGCGACTGTAGCTTCTGCCACTAGCTGACTAAAGCATCTTAATTAGAGAAATAATAAACACAACAAAAAATAAAATGAAATGTTTTTATTTTGGTGTCTCGAACGCACGGTACTCTAAATGCTAGCGTTTGTTTGTAAACATTGACACGAGGTTTGCGGAAAGAAGTCTGCCAATATTTACATATATCCATACGCGTTCACGCTCTACACTCAAGTTATTGAGAAATAAACAGACTTGCCCACACTTAGGTTATCGATTCAGAAACAGTGGATATTGTAAATGTATCGACCTTAAATGCCGATGGACTGTTTAAATTAGTATAGACTGTGGCGTAAGACAATTCACAATGACGTCATTGACCGTTTGTCCGACTGAACAATATAACAGAGTATATAATCCAGAAGCACAGGCTAATTTCTGTTGTTCTGTTTACCTGTTTGATTTGTGAAATTTATTAGGTTTTTACGACGAATAACATGAAATTTAGTTTTCATTACTATCAGCTTGTAACAGAAAAACACGTCATGTTCATATTTATAACAGCAAATTCAAAGTGATTGCAAGTAGCCTGTTTTAATACATTAAACAACAAAATGGAAATAGAACAACACAGTAAAGTAATTGCATGTAAGCAGTATATGTTAAATAAACATATTAATCCAGATCATGACGTGATGCGTTTACGTCAGAGAAGCGTGGGGAGAAAATACGACAGATCGTGATATGTATTAGGGCTTATTTGGTTGGTTTTTCTTGTGAATAATGGTCCCATGTTTGGATAACTTTATAAAGGTTTTTGCCTGGGCAAGCTGTTGCACCGACATCACGGTGTCCGTACAGTTTATAGTCCTGAGAAATTTTGCCCATCTCAATGCCAAGCTGAATCATTCCTAGCACTGCTTTTAGAGCCCGTATATCCGGATGCGACTCGTCTTCTTCGAAGTTCCCCATGATGGAGAAAGCAACCGAGACGCCGTTCCAGCCCTTAGTATGAGCTCCGACTCTGTCCCAACCTCTTGCCTCAAAGACGTGACCGCCCTCACCAACCAGGAAGTTATAGCCTATATCATCCCATTCTGTGGAAATGAAATTAGAAATCTGTTTAGTAAACCGTGCGTATTTAACGAGACATTGGGCGAAGCTTACAAAATAAAACCAAAAAAATATTTTTTATAGAACATTTTCAAATAAAGTTTAATACTTTCTTTTGACAATGTAGTAAAATAAATACGTGATACCTGCATAGACGTACTGTCTGTCGGTGATTAAAGGATTAATGTTTTTATTTTAAGTAGAAAGGATAAATTTACTCGTGATAACCTGCGTTATGACCTCATAACCTAACCAAAATAGAAAACTACTTTTTTTATATTTACAATCTTTATTTCTGTGAAAACGTCAAAATTATTTGATAAAAAGTGTGATCAAAAGATACACAATTTCCCGTTTAAAACATTTTCAACGTTTGATCTGTTTAATAAAGGAGGTCTGGGCCCAGTTGTTCAAAGGGTGATTAGCTTAAACAGTGATTAGCGCAAATTTCAATTTTTGTATTACTTTGAAATATAACCATCAACTGAGTTAAGACTTTCCAGATCTCAAGTATTTAATAGAGTTATTGTATGTGTAAATTTCGAAGCGTTTACGTTGTATATTGACGAAATTATTAAAGGTTGAAAATTGTCGTTAAACAGTGATTAAGCTATTCATCTTTTGAACAACTGGGCCCTAGAAGTATGTAAAACGTTGCTGAACCCCGCCCACGCCTACTGTTGTTGACGTCACACAATTTTAAACGCATTTGTTCGCAGAGATTTTGTCGACGTCATGGAAAATTGTCACGGTCTATGGAAAAGTTATATGAAGTGATAACCCTAATTTATCAATTTGTCTGTTAGTTAAAAAAACACGTTATTCTGTTCCTGAGTCAAGACAAACGTGTGCGAGGTGTGGATTTTCTTACTGTAATACCATTCTTCAGTAAGTATAACTAGGGTACAGATTTTAAGTCCTTTTGACAAATAAGCTCCCAAAAATATCTGTGTTATGGAGAAGGTTCCTTTGAAGTTTGTTCAGCTGACATTAATGTACATGTACAGTGCATTGATACTTGCGTTGCATACGTGTTAGATACACCTACCAAATAAAATTCGTATGGATTATTTCGGCAAGAGCAAAAGCATTCGAAAGATTTTCAGTTGTAGACAGGATGTTTTTTTCTGTTTTTCAGGATAATCTGAACTTTATAATGTCATTTTGTTTTGTCCACAGTTTGATAGAATAGTGGCTTCTGATTGATTAGCTATACTTTCTGTCTCTTACTCTGAAGGCAGATGTAGCAAATTCGTTACTGTTAGCCCAACAACAAGCTATTCAAGGTATCTGTACTCGCTAGTTTAGTTATACTTGCACCAAAATCCTTAGCCCGTATTTATGAAACCGTTCTCATGCTCAAGCATGGATTCTGTGCTCAAACCATTTTTATTTTCTGAACGCAATTGAATCCTGTGATACGGGCCAACACGTCATGTGCAACCATTCAAAACCATTTTCGGTTCGAAGTCTCTTCAAATCCTAACCAAAATATGTGTTTTTTCTTAATTGATCACCGGAACAAGAAAACGGGCATGAGCACAGAACCGAAGTTTGAGCAAGAGAACGGTTTCACGAATACGGGCCCAGATTGTCCGACAAGCCAGCCGGTGTTTTACAGAATAGATTTGCATAATTGTCCAAGTAATACAACTGTCTTATTCTAAAATTAATTTAGCTGAGAACAACAGTGGTTGAATCATTGAGGCTTTAGTAACCAGCAACGTTCAAGTTACATTTTGGATTGATATGCCTATTCTAAACATTATAATGATATATTAATTTTTTGCATTCGAGATCAGATTTCAAAACATCAAATTTGTTAAGAAGTTCATATTATTTATTTTTCTATAGATAATAGAGGTGTATATAGGATGTACGTTAAAATCCCTATAGAACACTGTCCTACATGTGTGTTATAGTTCATAAGATCATGTTTATCTAATGATGTACATACCAAATATTAGTATGTTATGGAAAGAATGTGTTTAATCCTGTATGCAAATACAGTGTATTAGTAACAATGACAGCAACTAATTTCAGGACCGGATGTTAATGTTTATTCACTGTGATTATATTTTGCTGCATCTTGTAATTATTTATTTATTAGTATATTGATACGACGTGCATAAAATTACAAGAAACAATGTATCTTTCGGGCAGATATTTTTTGCAAATATTCCGTCACTAGATTCAGCTTCATAAAACTAAACTTTTGCAAATTTATAAATATTTAAGATAAGATTTGATGTTAAGTGTATACATTACGGACACACATTAAACTATTTCATATTTAACAATTACTTTTGATAGTAGTACAAATTCCACTTTTGTAAAGACCTGTTCACATAAAGGACGAAGCGTTGACGACATAATACAGGCATAACGAATTTTCTATTGTGATAACCATAGTGTAAATATTTACGTGTTCATCAAGCAATACTGTATAGCAGGGCATTTTGTATATTTTATGAAAAAATCCCAACATATTCCTCAGTCACTGGTAAAATCCCTATAAACACAATGCTAGTGTCACTCCTCAGGGTCGGACTCAATACGTGTTTTATGTTTTGTAATAATTTCGTCGGCGAGAAGTTTATTCGCCTTCAATACTACGGACGAAACTAAAACTTTAACTAATATTTTCTTACAAAAAATATTAATCTTACTTCGATCATCCATGTGGAAATTCTGAATCGCTCGGACGGTTTCACTACCCTCCTGTTGTGTCGTGGTATGTTTTCCGGCTGTGTGATGAACGAAAACAATTTTCACGGGAGTCTTCATAGCGTCTGACCCTTTTGTATCCATTGCTTTCCATTGTGCCCTGGCCACAATATCTGAAGGAAACAGAATCAAGTTAACACGTTTTGATCAGGAGAACGATCAATCATAAAAGTGGTATAGTCGATATTCTATTATGAAATATGTAACAACTAAACACATTTACTTCCACTACCCCTTTAGGACTTAGAGTTGGAGGATTTAATTATTCACTAGTTGGTAATATCCTCTACGTTTTCATTAGTCAAACTTATAATTTTGACGTCAGGTACCAATGTTTTGCCCTGGCATCTTCCATTGTGACATTATATACATGTAGCTTACCCAATCTGAGAGAGGAATAATGTATTTCTAAGGGAACATATAGTTTTCTTAATAATGATAATCAGAACGGTATTTAGAAAAATAAATACCCTCAAACTTGTGATGAGTGATACAAGTGTTATCTAACTACTGTTGAAAAATTAAAAATATATTTGATAATATTCCTGTCTTTCTAATATTTTAAAACGAAAATACCTGAGTTATATAAGCATGATGACCAGCCAGCAGTCATTAGGAAACCTCTACATATTAATTTGGTGTCGAATATTAAGCTCATGTTATTATAGGATTTGTTACGTATGTTTTTAAATTGATTTGCGGCAATTTCAGTATAGTAATAGTTTTCTTGTTTTATGACCTGAAATGGGCGAAGTTAAGCAGAAACGGTACAAAATATTAGAAGGAGAGAATCCCCGTGCGTGTTATATGCACCCAGATACCACCTTTACGAGGTGTAACCTGTACAGGGTCCAACCGATTTCAATGCGGCGAGACGGGACAGGTGTACTTGCACATATATGAGTTAATGTAAACTTGTGATAAAATTTATAAAATTATATTTAAGTCCACAGGTGAAATGATAATACAATATATTTAGTTTATCAAATCCACAATGTCAGCAACGTGACATATGATTGACTGCAATGTTTGTTTTACAACGCGCTAATGCTAAATATAAACGGTGGAGTCTATCATTTCGGAACTTGTCCATTAACTTTGAGTTTACTGGTGGCATTGGTGACAGTTAAGAACTGCTTTGTTTCCTTAAAATAACTCGAGACTATTTTTATTCATCCAGATAAAAATGTTGCCAACATACAATCGGTTTTGCTGTGCTCGAAGTAACCGACTGTACCGTCGAACCTTGCTAATTGACTCAGCCAGCAAGTATACAGTTGTGTCACCACTGATTCGTCCATTCAGTGTTTAAAGGGACATATTCGTTTTTATTTTCAACGAGGCTTCAATGTGATCGCGTGTGTTATATATGTGTAACACACATGACCTTTACACCACCATGACCGTCAAGTACTTTGAACTACATAAGTACTATGTATACACATTATGGGTGTATATGAACCCATATGAGTTAAGTGTATTAATTGACCTCAAGTCGTAACATCAGTGCGTTAGTATACACATATACTTCTTCATATTGTATATATACATACCTGTACTTGTGTAGGCCATGTTTAGTCAACGGAGCGTGGAGATGTGTACGTGTAGTTTTCGAACTGAATTCGTGAATTATGTCCGGCCCGGACGACCTGTGAAATGAAACAACATAAAGTGTATACTGTTACAACGTAAAATGTCGACTAATATATCATAGTGTTAACCTGTCAATACAATGTAGATAAAAGATGACAATTACACAGGTACACAGGTGTTATAAAATACTCCAAATAACATAGGTATTGATAATAATATAAACGAATACAAAATGACACCAAAATATTACCTCATACGACACCTTTAAATTCTCAGGAAATAATTAAATGTATGAAAATATGAAAAATGAGTTCAAATCAAATTATAGCATGTTACGTTCATATTAATGTGATAAGCTTAATACACATTAAATTATATTCAATTATCAATGCTACTTACCTTATCGACTCGTCAATCTAAATACACCTCGGATTATCATGAAATTACTACCGGGTTTTTCCCAATATAAATATACGCCTCTGTTCAAATGCAAAATAGACTTAGCAGACCCAGGTTATTTTGTATCTTTGTACTTTAACCAAGACTTTGTAGAGATTTAAATTTTAAATGTCCAAACGTTATTGATATATCTGAATATTTCAAACGGCACTTGATTGCACATTTATGTTCGTTTTATGTTAGGAAAAGGTTCATGTTGACAGTCAATATGTTCTTAAACATACAAAATGGGGTGGCGTGGGGTTATTTCTATATTTGAAGTTATATCTGAGTTAAACAATGTACACTATGTCTTAGAAGAATCTATACGCCTACATTTGTCATCTGTCATAAATAGTGCATACATTTTGCTCCTTGAAGCGCTGAATTATTATTCATTCGGGGACTTCCCAGAAGTAAGTTGATGACGTCACATCTTTTTAAACACGCATTAGACATAGTCTGTTTGGAAATGAACAAATAGTTTACAAAAGCAATAATTTAAAATAATTGACACACGTACCTCTGCTACCTTTTCTGGTTACAATAACCTCAAAGCTTTACCCAAAATTATGATTGCTGTTTTACCAAGTGAATAAGTGGGAGAGGGATGAACCCGGAAGATCAATTTAGGTTAAGAGTACATAATATCACAACAAGGAAAAAGATCGCAAAACGCTCTTGCTGCAATTTGTCAGCTACAAAAAATATGTTTAAATATTGTTTTTTTGCGGTCTGTTTCAGGCAGTGTTTTTTTTAGAACTGTTAATGAAATATGTTGACGTTATTTAATATAATTTGAGAATGAGGTCATCCCATATATTCTGTATTGTGTTTTTGTATTTTGTATTTTACATTTAGTAACAATAGCATATGTTATTGTGGTATTTAGTGACTCTCAAACTGACAGAGAAACATTACAACAAAAGTAAACATGAGCAGGCAATGGATACTATATGTATTTGTAGGAAAGGAAGGGTGTCAATTTAGGCATTCTGGTGGCTTTCACCGATAGTTTTATACCTTGGGATAATTCCGTTATGCTATGACATGAAAATAAAGTCAGCTTGCAGTCTATTCCGGGGAAATTAGGGGGTAAAGCGGGGGACCAAATGGCATATATTTTACAACACCACATGTTTTTGTTGCAAGCTTGCTTCATAATTTGGATGTATTGTGTAACAATAAAACTACAAATAACAAAAATGACCGACAAGACTAGCACAAAGTTGATAAGTAGGTCATGGCGACCTTGTTATGAACCTGTTTACTATATGTCAATGATACTTTATATTTTGTGCCTACATATTAGAACCATACAATAATCTTACCAAATCTCAAGAAACGGGGATGTAAGTTAGCGGAGGTGACCTCCTGAAAAGGAGACGTGATCTGTAATATGCAGAATGCATGTGTGTAGTTATAGTTATGATGTTGTGCGTGCAGACGGTACCTGCGACGACGCCGTTGTGGCACTTTGAATAGGAATTGGAACGGACACACACCAAAGGTAATGAGCCAAATCAACGAAGTTATGACGGCAGTCTGCGTGTATCCATCGACTCCCTTTCCCAACGTACAAAATGGCGGATGTGCCTTCAACAACCAGATGCGTTTACAAAGAGGAAACCGAGGAGGCGGAGCCGGTTCAACAATGATGTAAATAGCCAGACAATTGATTAATAGGTGGGGCGGTTTCGGAATGGGAGCGAATTGGTGACGTAAAAGCTAACGTCATCACGTAACTCTTCAAGTGATATATATAGCGTGCTATTGAACTATGACTTTTCCTAGTGACACTCTCGGACATTTAATATCCCATTTAGATGGAGTTTACTGTGGTGCTGGTTTGCGATGGTGACTTTGCATATAATCATAAATATTTCCGTGTTAAGATACAAACTAACTACCAAAAAGATTAATTTTATGTTGAATCATAATTATGTTTTATTTGTTTGTATAGGATTTAATACATTTGACGTCGACAAAAGCTGCAATAAACATGCCTATTGATGTATATAACACATCACTATGTCGCCGTTGTTGTTATTGTACAATATCATAAAATAATCTAAGATTCCCGTCAAATAACCAAACATCCGGATTGTGCATTGCTAAGGGTTGAACGAACCTAAATTCAGCTCAGGGATTTTTAAGATACGGCTCTAAATAGAGACAGGAGTAACTATATTTCGTATTCAATCGAAGGACGATAGAGTAAAAATGCCTTTGTGACAACATTTTTTTCTGAAATTAAGTCACATTGCCATATTGAAATAACCCATATCGACGTAAAACAAGAACTCACAAAAAAAACCCCAGAAAAATAACTCAATTTTAATCATTCCTTCGTTCAACAAACATTCGTATCTTATTGGTCAAAATTTCCTCTTCGTACACATTTAGTAAAAAAATATTATAGACTGTGACGTATAGCAATTCACAATGACGTCATTGGCCTTGTGTCCGACTGTATAGCAGAAACACAACCTCATTTCTGTTGTTCTTTTGTTATTGTTTTGTTTTTTAATGTATTAATTGATACGGCAAATATTAATTAACTACATTTTTCATTGTTATAAGATTGTGACGGTGATTCAAAGAGATTGTAAGTTAGATGTTTTAATTACATTTAACAACTTAATGGAAATAGAACAACACATTCCTTGCAGAAAGGTTATTATGCTCAAGCAGTATGTAATAACATGTTAATCCAGATCATGACGTAATGCGTTTACGTCAGAGAAGCGTGGAAAGAAAATACGACAGATCGTGATGTCAATCAGGGTTCATTTGGTTGGTTTTTCTTTCGAAAAATGGTCCCATGTTTGGATAATTTTATAAAGGTTTTTGCCTGGGCAAGCTGTTGCACCGACATCACGGTGTCCATACAACTTATAGTCCTGAGAAATTTTCCCCATTTCAATGCCAAGCTGAATCATTCCTAGCACTGCTTTAAGAGCCCGTGGATCCGGATGTGACTCATCGAAGTTCCCCATGATGGAGAAAGCAACTGAGACGGCGTTCCAGCCCTTAGTATGAGCTCCGACTCTGTCCCAGCCTCTTGCCTCAAACACGTGACCGCCCTCACCAACCAGGAAGTTATAGCCTACATCGGCCCATTCTGTGGAAAAGAAATTATGAATCTGTTAATGAAAGCGTGCGCATTTAAAGAGACATTAAGGATAGTCTGCAAAACTACCAAAATACATTTCTTTTAAAAAAAATCCAATTAAGTTTATCAGTTGATATTTATTTCGAAATACGTTCTTTTGTCACCGTAGCAACATAACTACTGGATACCTTTATTGACGTACTGTCTGCCGGTGATTACAGGATTAATGTTTCTATTTTAGGCAGATAAGGGTAAATTTACTCGTGAACACCGACGTTATGACCTCATCACCTGACCAAAATAGAAAATTATTCTTTACATTTACAATGTTATTTCTGTGAAAACGTCATTATTATTTGATAAAAAAGTCTGATCAAAAGATACATAATTTCATGTTTAAAACTTGTTCAACGTTTGATCAGTTTAATAAAGGAGGTATAGGGTATGTAAAAGCCTTGATTAACCCCGCCCACGTCTGCTGTTGATGTCGTCACACAATTTGTCAAACATGAGTTCGCAGAAAAATGACATTACTCCGCCCACACGTGTAATTGAATATAATTCTTCAGTTAGTATTACTAGGAAACAGATCATATTTCCGTTTGACAAATAACCTCCCAAAAATATCTTTAGTATGATGGTTCATTTGAAGCAAGTTCAGCTGACATTAATGCACATGTACAGTGCATTGATATTTGCGTTACATATCTGCTAGATTCACCTACTAAATAAAATTCGTATGATTCGTTTCCGCAAGAGAAAAAGCATTCGAATGAATTTCAATTGTAGACAGGAATTTTTCTCAGTTTGTCAGGATAATCTGAATTTTATAATGTCATTTCGTGTGGTCCACAGTTTGATAGAATAGTGGCTTCCGATTGATTAGTTATAATTTCGGTCTCTTACTCGAAAAGGCAGATGTAGCAAGTTCATTAGTTAGCCTAACAACAAACTATTCAAGGTATCTGTACTCGTTAATTTAATTGTACTAAAATCCTTGACCCGTATCATGATACCCTTATCATCCTCAGGTAGAAATGGCTTGACCCTAAAAATAAAGAGTATGTCTCGGATAAACATGGATAGCGGATTCATCCTGCACAACACACCTAAATATATATATATTTATTTATAAACTACATTTTGACGTGTTTTTTTTAGAAGAATGAATATTTTTTCAAAAAGTGATTTCCCCATATTTGGGACTTGTGAAAACCATGGTTACCACATCAAAAAACGACAAAAAAATAAAAATAAAAACATGATTTTTAACCCAAAATTTGACCCACGCAAGTAGTATTATTTTTCTTAAAACCTGTCTTTAGTTAAATATCACCTACTCGGTCACAGATACTCACGTTTTAGCATAGGTCGTCAAACTAGATTTTTCACAATATTTACACATGTGCTGAGTACAAAAATAGACTACATGAAAAGCTAGCTTTTGTTGTGTAGACAGATTCGTAAATGGCCAAAATTGTAGTCTCAAGCCAAATTCGATTTTGTTTTAATGTGAAGCTCACATAGTCCAATTCATCATGTATATGCCAATTTTAGAGCTGATCTTTATTCAACTTTTGATACATGTAATATTACAGGGGTTATTCATTGTACAAAAATATCACCAATGGCCACCGTAAGCTACTGTACTGCTACCTCAAGCATGGATTCTGTGCTCAAAGCTATTTTTTTCTGAACGCATTTAAATCCTGTGATATGGGCCAAAATGTCATGTGCAACCATTCAACACCATTTTCGGTTTGAAGTCTCTTATTTTTTAAAAAAAAATCCTTTCCAAAATAGGTGTTTTTTCTTAATTGATCACCTGAACAAGAAGATGGGCTTGAGCACAGAACCCGTGTTTGAGCAAGAGAACGGGTTCATGAATACGGCCCCAGATTGTCCTACAAGCCAGCCGGTGTTTTACAGAATAGATTGGCATAATTGTCTAAGTAATACAACTGTCTTTTTCTAAAACTACTTTAAGTATACTTTAAGCATATTCTTAACATTATAATGATATATTCATTTTTTTTGTTGGTGAGATTTTAAAACATCATATTTGTTAAGAATATATAGATAATAGTGGTATATATATATAATGTACGTATACATCCTACTCGAACACTGTCCTACATGTGTTGTATAGTTCATAAGATCATGTTTATCTGATGCCATACCAAGTATTAGTATTTCATGGAAAAAAATGTTTTTTAATCTTCTATGCAAATAAAGTATATAAGTAACAACAGCAACAACTAATTTTGGGACAGCATGTTAATGTTTGTTCGACAATACTTTTATTGCTACATCTAATAATCATTTATATATAAGTATCTTTATAAGACGTGTATAAAGGATATAAGAACAATGCATCTTTCGGGCAGATTTTTTGCAAATATTTCGTCACCTGATTTAGCTTCATAAAACAAAACTTTTGCAATTCTTTTCAAAAATTAAAGATAAGATTTTAAAGTTTAAACATTACGTTCACACATTATATATTTTCATATTTAACAAATACTTTTGATGGAAGTACAAATTCCACTTTTGTAAAGACCCGTTCATATAAAGGGCGAAAACATAAAACAGGCAAGGAGAATTTTTGATTGTGATCACTATTGTGTTAATATTTCCGTGTTTTTGTTGTATTTAATCACCACAGAAATGCATAGCAGGAACTATTTTTTGTTTGTTTGTTTGTTAAAGATTCGTCATTGCCTGGTTAAATTCATATAAGCACAATGCTACTGTCACCCCTCAGGTGTGAAATGTATATGAGTAGTATGATTTGTAATATTTCGCCGTTATTACTGAGGACGAAAAATAAACTGTTACTAAAATCTTCCTACGTTTTATTTTAACTTTCAACTCTATTTCTCGTTACAAAATTATAAATATACAGATAAAACACTACCACCAGTATACAATATGAAATGTAATAAATATATGGAGGACAACTCTTTATACGTATTTAACCAAAACAATACTAAATTTGCATACATTTCTTAAAATTTAAACATTGTTTGTATTCATTAGTTCTAAGAACTTAACAATATTAAGTATGGCCCAATATTATTTATGTAAATAAACCTTCCCTTCTGTAGACAGAAATGGACATTTTAACAAGTAGTGAAACTCGTGTCACCAATGTCTAATTAATACAATATGAACATATGCTGTTTTAGTACTCAACTTTATTCCATTTTCCAGTTTCAACTATCAGTTTATGATTACAAGTTCTAAATTTACACAATACTATTCGCTTATTTGTAAAAAAAAAAGAGTCTTACTTCGTTCATTCATATGGAAATTCTGAATCCCTCGGACAGTTTCACTACCCTCCTGTCGTGTCGTAGTATGTTTTCCGGCTGTGTGATGAATGAAAACAATTTTCACGGGAGTCTTCATAGCGTCTGACCCTTTTGTATCCCTTGCTCTCCATTGTGCCCTGGACACAATATCTGAAGGAAACAAAATCAAATTAACTTAGCTGCTATTAAACAAGCTTTGATCAGGAGAACGATCAATCATAAGAGTTGAATGGTCCACTTTTTATTATGAAATAAGTAGCAACAATACACATTCAGTAGTAGGTAATATCCTTTACGTTTACATTGGTCAAACTTTTAATTTTGAAGTCAAGTAACAATGCCTTGCGCTGGCATCTTCCATTGTGACGGCATAGGTTCTCCAATCTGAGAGAGGAATACTATATTTCTAAGGGAACATATAGTTTTCGTTTTCGTAATATACATTTTATAAGAACGTTTTTTTGGGAAAAGTGGACACCCAAACTCGTGATGAGTGATTATAGTGTTTATCTAACTACTGTTGGAAATTTTAAATATACATTCGATAATCATCCTGTCTCTCTACAATTTAAAAATGAACTTACTCGAGTTATATCAGCATATTAAGCAGCAATCATTCGTTTGGAAACCTCTACATAATAATCTGGTGTTGAATATTAAGCTCAGGTTATTATAGGATTCGTTAGAGATGTATTCAAACTGATATGCTGCAATTAAAGCACACTTATTGTTTTCTTGTTATTTGGCTTGAAATGGGCTAAGTTAAGCAGAAACGGTACAAAATATTAGAAAGAGAGAATCTTAGTACATATAATATGAAGCCAAATACCATCTTGATGTGTTGTAAACTGTACAAGGCCCAACCGATTTTTATGCGGCGGAACGGGACAGGTAAAATTATGACAGAATGTATATTGTAAGTTCATAGGTGGCATGAAAGTACAATAAATGTATTTGATCAAATACACGATGTCAGCAGTGTGACATATGATTGACTGAAATGTTTCTATAACGACGAACGTAGGCTAATTGTTATCTATCGTTAAATTCGAGTTTACTGGTGGCATTGATGACAGTAAAGAACTGCTTTGTTTCCTGAAAACAACTAGAAGATTGTTTTATTCATCCAGATAAAAAAATATTGCCGAAAAACAACCGGATTTTAGTTTTGCCTTGCTCTAAGTAAGCAACTGTAAAGACGAACCTTGCTAATTAATTCAGCCAGCAAGTATATAGTTGTGTCACCACTGATCCGTTCATTCAGTGTTTAAAGGGACATAATTTATTTTATTTTTAACACGGATGCAGTTTTTCAGACTGTCAATTCACTATCTTGCTACTTGAGTTGTTAATGGTGATGATAAGTTCAACGAGGCTTCAATGTGATCGCTTGTGTTATATATGTGTAACACACATGACCTTTACATCACCATGACCGTCATGTACTTTGAACTACAGAAGTACTATGTATTCACATTATGTCTGTATAACTTCATATGAGTAAAGTCTGTTAATTGACCTCATGCCATAATATCAGTGTAGTTATATACACATATATAGTCCGAATTATTAGGACGTTTTATCGACTTTTTTTTTTATATATATCGGCCTGTTGTCGATTAACGTCAGAACTCCGGCCCTCTATAATATGCGGGAAATAAGCAACCCGCGCCAGGGTAGCTCTTCAAACTGATATTTTAGAAACAAATCGTCACTTTCACACTCATGTAATTCAATAATTCGGACTAACACATATACTGCTTCATATTATATATATATATATATATACCTGTACTTTTGTAGGCCATGTTTAGTCAACGGAGCCTGGAGATGTGTACGTGTAGTTTTCGAACTGAATTCGTTAATTATGTCAGGCCTGGACGACCTGTAGATGAAACAACATTGAATGTAAATTTTTACAACGTACAATATCGACAAATATACCACAGTGTTAACCTGTCAATACAATGTAGATACAAGATGACAATTACACAGGTACACAGGTGTTATAAAATACTCCAAATAACATAGGTATTGATAATAATATAAACGAATACAAAATGACATCGAAATGTTTCCTCATACGACACCTTTAATTTCACAGGAAATAATTAAATGTATGAAAATATGAAGAATGAGTTCAAAATAAAAATAGAACATGTTACGTTTATATAAATATAATAAGCTTTATACAAATTAAATTATGTTCAATTATCAATTCTATTTACCTTATCGACCTGTCAATGTAAATACACCTAGGACAATCTTGAAATAACTTCCGGGGTTTTCCCAATATAATTATACGTTTCTGTTCATTGCAAAAAAGACTTGACAGACCCATGTTTGTATATCTATTAAAAGCTTCCTGTTATGTCATCTATGATTGTTTTGTACTTCAACCGAGACTTTGTAGAGATTTAAACTTTAAATGTCCAAAAGTATTAATATAGCTGAATTTTTAAAAAGGAGAGCAGCACTTGATTGCACATTTATGTTCTTTTTATGATAGGAAAACGTTTATGTTGAATGCAAGATGTTCTTGAACCTACACAAGGAGTTAAGGGTGGGGTTGTTTCTATATTATAAGTTACAGAAGAGTTGTACACTGTACACTATACATGAAAGAGAAGAACAGTCGGAACTATACGCCTGTTATAAATAGTGTCTATATCTTGTTCCTTGTAGCGCTGAATTATTATACATTCTGAGTCTTTCCAGAGGTAAATTGATGACGTCACATATTCTTAAATACGCATCAGATAAAACAATTGTAACTCTAAAAGTAGACTAAAATAAAGCTACAGGACAAATATCAGTGTCTTAACTCAAAGTCTCCAAAACAAAGACATTTAGTTTGACAGAGTTTATAGCCTCCTATCCCAGCATGCCTCTGGTCAAACATCATTACCCTGGATCTTTTATTTTATTCAGAAGAAGTTGATATAAGGTTTTAAACATATTTGACCCCTGTGACCTTGAATATAAGTCAATATAATTCGTTTGAACAAACTTGGAAGCCCTTCTGCCTAGCATGCTCCTAGTTAAATATCATCATCCTGGGCCTATTGGTTATTAAAAAGAAGTTGTTTAAATGTTTTAAACATTTTTTGACCTATGTGACCTTGAATATACGTCATGGTATTTCTTTTAAACAAACTTGGTAGCCCCTTCTGATAGCATGCTACTGACCAGATATCACTATCCTTGGCCTTTTGGTTATTCAGAACAAGTCGTTTAAAGATTTTAAACATATTTGACTCTATAACCTTGAATACAGGTCAAGGTCATTCATTTTCGCAAACTTGCTAGCCCATCATCTTAGCATGCTCCTGGCCAGATATCATCACCCTGAGCTTAATGGTTATTAAGAAGAAGATTTTAACATATTTGACCCCTGTGACCTCAAATAAGTGTGAAGATCATTTATTTGAAGAATTTGGTTAGCCTTTCATTCCAGCCGGCATGCTACTCACCAAATTTCAACACCCTAGGCAATTTGGTTATTGAAAAGAAGTTATTTAAATGTTTTCAACATATTTGACCCCTGTGCCCTTGAATATAAGTCAATGCCATTCGTTTTGACCAACTTGGTTGCCCTTTATCCTAACATACTCCTGGTTAAATATCATCATCCTAGCCCTTTTGGTAATTAAGAAGAAGTCGTTAAAGAAATTTTTATTCATGCCATCATGATACGACATGAATTTAAGGGTATTTTTGCAGATCGATCCGAGATATAATGGGGTAAAGTAGTGGATACCAAAGCGAAAAATGATAAAACTGACTGAAAAGAATAACTAGCACATAGTCATAGTCACCGTGACCTTTTAAACCACCCCGTTAAAATATGTCACTCTATATTGTGTGTCTAAATACACATTAGAACCATATAATAATCAAATATTAACCAAATTTCAGGAAAAGGGGGTCGAAGTTATCGGGGATGACCTCCTTTAAAGGAAACGTGAGTACTGAGCGGTGTTAAAGAATTGTGTTCAGAAGAATGTACGTGTGCATTAAGAATCAATTGCATCATTGGAGTTATATATCAAAGTTCGTCACTTTTTCAAATAGGCACAATTTTATTGTTCGAAAAAGTTTTGAAATGTTTATAATAATTCTGAACATATGTTGATTTCTTTTTGGCGGTATATTTGATTTTTTTCCAAGAAAAAAAAAAGTTAGGTCACTAATACAAATGATATTCATTGATCAACATTGGATATTGAATTTTCTTTCATCCCAAAAATAATTTCACCATTATGATTCAGAAGCATATTTGTTTAGTTGAAAAAATGAATTGCTAAAGGTTTCGTTAAATTAAATTTGATTCGATCAAATAAAAAAGTTACCAATTATAAGAGACGTCTGATTTTGTCGCTAATTTATGACATTTATTTTATATTGTTATTAAACTGCACAACAGTTTTTCACAGTATAACGTTTTCGTGTAAAACATGCTATACTAGTAATATTTTACTTAAAATTGTTTGCACATGTGCTAGAATAAAAGAAAAAATAATTATCCTTGTGGTAGAGTTTTGTTTTGTTTAGTTTTATTTTGTTTAACGTTCTATTAACAGCTAAGGTAATTTAAGGACCTGCTTCTGTGTGGTTTGTGTATGAGTGCATGAGTGTATGTGTGCTGGAGACAGGGTATGTTGGTGTAATTGCCTCCTTGTGATAGTGCGGATCTGATGCCGATTTTATAGTGATATCGCACTGAAATACCATGCCGAAGGCAGTCAGCACAGCATTCCGCCCATTCACATTATACTGACAACGGGTGAACCAGTTGTTGTCATTACCCTAAATGTTGGAGGTTAAGTTGGGAACAACAACTACCATTTTTGAGGTCTTTAGTATGTCCCAGTCTTGGGACAGAACCCATTGCCTTCCTTATCTGGGCGAACGCTCAGCGAAGCTAGAATTAAGGTATTGCCAAGTAAGGCACTAGGAAATAAAAGCTAGTTAAAAGTACAGAGAAATATAAAGATCCATAATATTGCAATGGGTGCAGCAGATTTGTTTAAGTCGGGGTTGTGTCCCCATTTAGAGGGTACAAAAGCAAACCCAAATTATTTGGGGGGTTCCAACATTAGTCGCCTCTTACGATACATGAAGTGGATAACAGCAGGTCAGTCCTCGACCTTCAGGGGTGTTGTGGAAGAGAAGCATGCTTCTTGTTTCCCTTCGATTAATCTGGTTTAACTCCGGCATGGCCGCCTAAAACATGATTGATGTCCCCTGTTTCCGTACTACAATTGCAATTTGTTAGTATACCGAAATAGAGTGATACAAAAAGGAAATATGACTAGTCTTCTGTCACTTGAAACACAGTCGTGACAACTCTTCCTCATTTTTTTTCAAGAGAGGCCCCGAATTAGGGAAATATGACTGGGAAGGCTCTTTTGAGAAATACACGTTTTATTTTGCCAAAACATTCAATCGACTTCATACAGATGAGGTATAATGAAAAATATATATATTAATGTTTGTTTTCGTCCAGTTTTATGTTATATTTAATTGTGTTCTTTTCCCAGTCCAGTTACGATTTCTCTATCATCCTGTCTGATCACTCCGGCTCTTTCTCTGAGTAGTTGGCCATTTTCTCCATGCTTTCTAGTATAGGCTGGAAAGAAACAAAATGGAGTCATCGGTAGTCATAATAATATACAACATTTATATAGCGACCTATATAATTTGTAAAATTACTCTAAAGCGCTTTCCAACATATGGATAATAGTAATGGTTATAATTGTGAAAACAAAAAACAAAGGATTACAATCACTTTTATACATTTAAGCAAGCAATGTACACATAATTGAACAAATAAAAGGGTGGTATTTACACGACGTCTTTGCAAGGATTCTAAAATGCAGACGTGAAGAGGTGAGTTCACAACATAGATTATGCAGACAGAATTCGATGTTATATATAATACTGTCATTTTGATGAGAACATTCAAGAATTATACGCTTACTATGCAGTTGCTGATATTCGGATGTGTACCTGATTTTGCGGTCAATCAAACAACCGCATAACTAAATACCAGATCGACGCTTAGTCAGTATGAATCTATACCATACTAAACTTCAATAAAGTACTCCAATTCAGTGAACATATAATGGATTATAATGTTAAAGTAACGTCGAATGGTGTCATTATTCAATTTTCAGTACGCGAATTAATACACAGGATATAAATGAGGTTAGCAAAATACCTCATGCAAAAAAAGAATCCAACAATGCCCCTGCCATAGCCCCTCGCCACCCCCGCCCCCAAAAGATATTGAAATGTTAAAAGTTTTATGTATATACATTTATTCACAACGTTTCGGGATCCAGATGATAAATGTGACCATGCCCTATACCTAATTTTCTGTTAGTTAATCGATTTCTCCAAATATGTCAATTATAACAAAATATTTTAATAAGTTGAATCTATAACACACGAGAACAATATCGATATAATTTCGGTATCTTATGTACATTTTTAGCGCAATGTTAATTAGTACTGAAAATTCATTGATGACGTCTTTGTGGAAGCAATGATAATTCTCTTTACATTTATGTAAAATGTGTATGGACAGTTTACATGCACAAACCTTGTTTTCGTCTTTCAGTGGAGGATTTCTCAGAAGAATGCACAGAGGACTGAAGGCAACGTTGATGATAGCAATACCCCACATTAGCCTGAAACAAAATCAAAACCTCACAGGTCAATGCAACTTAAATGTTCCAAAAACATATCGAACACTGTTGGTTGTACCCGACTTACAAAAAACCACTGTTATTTGAGATGATTTGTATGAAAAATGACATAAGACGAATCTAAAAACTGTTTATACCAAATATCACCACATTGAGTCATTGATAAAACTGCAAAAATCAAACGAGTGTGGTAATTCTTCGATTGTAAAAACATTGAAAGATAATCATAATATTTTCTTTTGATACAAATCTACTTGTTAAAAAATATTTCAAGGATGGTTTCTTGTTCGTCCTAGTTATCCATATTATGAATCTTTTCTGTAGATACACACCATGAAAATCCGACAAGCTTCACGATCTGGCCGGCGATTGAGGGACCTGTACGAAAAGGAAATACAGATACATGAAATAAATTGTGTTATAATCTATTAATTTGGATATGATGATAATGAAAATGGACAATTTGTTGATTACATCGTTTTTGTAAGCTTACTTTGTGAGATACAGGCATATCAGTCGGAGAGGATATGGAATACTCCCGAATACAATCATTATCGATCAGTTTTCTTATATTGCTTATTATTTACCCTCCTTTTAACGACAAATATTTTTACACAAGACTATACTATGTCACCCTGCATGTTAATGTTGATCTCTAATCGGTCAATCAGCAAAACATTCCCATAAAACCCCGGCCTTGCCAAGTTGTAAATGATCACGTACCAAGGGGAAGAACTCGCATTTTCTCATTTAATAAAAGCCAATATAGCAGCCAAAATAATATGTTTGATTTGAATGTGAATATAGAGGAATATGCATTTACAACGCAGTGTTAAAAATGTTTTTTTTTTAGGTACAAATGTTAAACCTCACTTGCATTCTTGCATATTAAGTCATTATTTTCCACCAAGTACATATTCCAAAATGAACAGAGAAAGTTAAAGTTTACATACATTTATAACATGGAATTATGTATTTTACTTCGTTTTCCCCAAATGCTTTATATATAAAAGAATATCAATGAATGATATATATATAGAATATCCCACCTATCCCATAAGCCAGACAGACCGCTAACTGTGCTATAGCGTACACACTTCCATATACGGCTACGTGACGTGTGTCTACCAATAAAGCTAGTAAGGGCATGATGGCGGCGTCCGTGATACCTGTAACATTTTAACGCATCAATACACCTTTTAAATTATAAATTGGTTAAATTAGATGACAGGAAAACATTATATCTTTCTTTATTGTCAAATACAAATTATTGTCCACTGTCACCAAAGGAATATAAATAAAAATTTCACGTTTTTTTTTAAGTCAAAGTTAATTTATGGTATTTGTCATCAATTTTACAAGGAATAAATTACAAAATTCTATTAAAATTGTGTAATGCTTGATGTGAGTGGACAAGCTTCAGACGATATATTTGCGAATACAAGAATACGACAAAGATACAAAAACAAGATAATGCATGCAGAAACATTTGCAACATACTGTAAATCCATAATTAGATCTTCTTTCAAAACTTACGCGACACAAACATACGTATTGCGAAATTTAAGTTACTTATATACAGGTACAACTATCAACGTTTTAATACGGAAACAAAACTCACTGTATCTTACACTTACCCAGGCCAAGTCCGAGACCAAAGTGAGGAAGAATAAGCTCGGCAACACTGGTAGCAAGAGGGATCTATATCATAAATGGGCAAATCAGTTCAGAAAATCTGTAATACAGCCATTCAAACGGTTGTTGTTGCGGTGTGTTCCATATACTTATACACCGTGAACGTTTTCTATGTTAAAATTACATATTCTTAAATCACCCAGTATTTCTATTTTAATCAAGTTTAATAATGTATATTATTAATAACATAACAAAATTACAAATGTGTATAGCCTATTAATTTCACCGCGTGCCTCATGTATCCCTTAACATTTATCTTAAAATATTAATCTTATAAATATATAAATTTCCATAAAAATCTAAAGAACATAAACGATTTAAACATGTATCAATAATTTTTATGAGAAACATATCGAGAAAATGGATATACGAGCTACTCAAATAGAAATTTGATATGTACAGACAAACAACAATATGGTATGCGGTGGTTTCAATTCTTATACAAACGCTCGTAAATACTTACAAATGACAGACAAAGTCCAATTAGCAGCATACTACACAATGAACACACCCACCTATAAAATAATCATACAGCTTGTGATGTATGGTGATAGATCTAAGAGTGAAAACCTTAAACTCTTAGTAGACGTTAAAAACCACATGGAGATGGTTGTCACCGGAAGGAGAGAGATAGAAAAGAAATAAAGAGTATGTAGGAAAGATAGAAAATGAAAAATATCCCAAGATCGGAAAAGAAACAATTTCCAAGTATTAAAATTTTGGAAGCTGATCAATTAGGTCTATTCATTGTCCACTATGTTGACTTGACACGATTCTTGAAGGGGGTTCGCACACTGGTCCTCTAACGATACACAAATGCAGCAGAAAATAGCAGCTCGATCCTTGGTTTCTTCATTGTACCCTTACTATCTGGTTGTAATTGATATTTGCGCTCTTAAATGCTGAATGGTACTTGTTTTACTGTTTAAAAGCTTCTTTTTTTCACAGTAGAAAACGTGAAACAATTCACTTTAATATCGGGAATATACTATTGGGATTTTTCCGAACTGAAATATTTATTATTAATTAATTATATAGGTATTGGTACCTTCTTCAATTTGATGGATGATAATACTAGATTGCATACCTGCCTATTCTCTTAGCAGCAACACCAAAGAAGTTAGCACCGACAAAATATCCTATGCTATCAGGCAAGAAGACCAAACCTGTAAATATACGATAGACTGCCAAAGTACTTATTTTAGCGGACTCTAAATTTAGCGTTTTATCGAATTTTAACTGATTAAAGCATTTAAGGAAAAACGCACTCAGTATATATGCAAAAGAAAATTATATACAGAAATCTGAATATGCGTAATAATAAATTATCGCTATATTTAAAGCGCGAGAAAATAGAATACCGCAAAAATATGTACGTTTATGCAGTTTATTTAGGATGCGAGAGAAGAAAAAATAACCAATACACATCAGCATCGGCGTCATCAAACAAGGACCTGAAATAATCCAGCGTCATCCCACAAGGCCAAACTGCACTCATCGTCAATTGATGAGGACTAAATACACAACAGGGTCATAATAGAATGTTATATCAGGGAAACATAGTCCATCTAAGTGTGTTCTTCATGCTTGTAGATTGTCAGATACAGAGATTGAATTATAAAACATCTACCTTATTTGCAATGTAAATCTATTGCGTTTCAAGTCTTATTCTCCAAACAATTCCTTTATTAAAGTAAATTGTTTTGGCTTTAGCAGATACATAACCAGGATTAGTACAAAGTTAACATGAAATGGCGTTTTGATGACACCTACCTTTATACAACAGGAGGGAGATAATCTTCATTTACCTTGGAACTGAAGAGAGTACAACTTGTAAAACTGATAAAAACTCCAAATGCATACCCAGCTGCCATTTTTGAGCATGCATCGTATCAATGATCCAAATAGGGACTGTAGGTTCAAGTGTCGCCATGGCCGTCGTCGTCAACATCACAGCACCTATAGATACGTGTATTTACTAGCGTTTATACAAGGTACTGTTAATTTGTATATTACCTTATTCAATATACCTATTATTTCTATGTAAGTTATCTCCGTTATTTGAATACTGGCATTATATCGTTATTTAGTCCAAGTATATGTATTGTCAATACAAGCAATCTTGTAAAATCTGTCAAATATATAGTTAATTTATTGACAAAATCCACATTACAATTATCTATTTTGTGGTTTTCCTTAATGAAAACAAACAAATTAATTTCTTATGTGGATTGTTTTAAAAGGAGATAAGCATCGTGGTTATGTAATATATGCTTTTGCCCATCAAAGCACTGTAGCCTTTCTACGGATTCTAATGATTTGCTCATTTGACTATTTACATCTTTCTAACAAGGAGAGGAAACTCATAGATGCCTTACCTGCTGCCACAAGTATGTACGGGTCTCTAAGCAGGCGATGGAGTGGTGTCCCTTCCATTGTTAACTGTAAGAATACATTCGTCAATGAAGAACAAAGAAGCAATATATATGAATGTGAAATTAATAATGTACTGTGAAGGCTCTATATCATCATCTGATGAATTAGAATACAAAATCTATTACCAAAACATGGAATATGACATTCGAAATATCCTTTAAGAAACAATTCAGTAGAGTACAGAAAATATGATTTCTTTTTTTGCGAACATTTGATTTCGCAAATGTGCTGTAAACGCGCATTTACCTGCATTTAACAATATTTTTTCTATATGAAAAAATTAAGAACACATTTACGTGTAGATAATAAATTTGTATGTGTTTCATACCTTCTGGTGAAGAGTTGGTCGAAGAATCGCTATCTGCAAAACTAAACAAAACATTCAAATTAAGGTTTTGTTAACGATGCTGGTTCTTTGGCAATAGGGATTGTGGTCGATGTCCCAAAAATATCGCTACAGTATGTGCTTTTTGACATAATAGCATCAAAACAATTATTCATTACTATTTTAGTCCTACAATTATATATTACACTTTAGGCAAAACACTTCATAACCTTAGTATCCTGACAAGCATATAAGAAGACCAGATTATAATTTGTATGTCCCTGCAGGTAGGGCGTAAGAATTGTACCCATTGCCCCCCTTGCCTGATTGTAAGAGGCGACTAAATTTGGAATCTTATGTTTTCTCTTCTTTCTAAATAACTTTCTTCTTCCTAATGTCTCCCTTGAAGATGCCTCGCATTTGGCCTTTAGTTGAGCGTTTTCCCATGTGAGGAAGGCTTTGGGATCTGTCCCCTGACCGAGACACACCAGAGACTGTACAAATGGTAGTTTCTACTACTGCTAAGCGCTCAGCAATTTGGGAGTGGGACGACTGGTTCGGCCGTTGTCAGTATAATGTGACCGGTTGGGGTGTCCTGCTGGGTGTCTTCGGCAGTATGTTTCAGTGAAGTATCACTATAAAGTCGGCATCAGTTCCGCGCTATCATAAGGAGACAAACACGCACTACTTGCATGCATCTTGCACACAGAGTAAGCCGTCCTAAAATGACCATAGCTGTTGATAGGTCTTTAAACAATACTAAACCAAACCAAATCAAACTCTGATAACAAAGTGCTCAATAGAGCCAGGCAATCGCACGTTCGTTACTCTTCACCGCCTCAGGAGCTTTAGCGCAGCTAACAGGATATTTATTCTCACAATAGGCTACATAAAGGTTCAATGGAGACAACATCGATGGGAAAGATAAGTACAAAAGAATATTGGTATTTAAAACCCTCGATTCTGCAAAGTAACCTTATATAATCATGTAGTGAGCTGCAGAAGGCCAGGCTAATTCCCCAAGAGCCTGTTTGATGCTAAAGTAATCTATAGCAGTTACATGTACCAGTAAGGCTATATCTTTAAACCATTAATTCCTTCTGCTAAGGTCACTCCTACCTTCAGTCTTGTTTCGCGATAATATATATACAAAGCAATGTCATGTCCATCACTCGATCGCCCCAGAACAGAAAAGCAATAAAACACTAGTTTTGTAACTTTCATTTTTTCAATCTTACACTACGTAAACGCTGCATTTCAATTTCGGTGAAGTTTTAGAAATCTTTTTTACGATAGCGTGACAGAATAATAAGTAAAAGTATATTATGAAATACGCACAGTTTTTGTTTGGATTCAATCATATCAGAAGGCAGCGCTTCAAAAAAGTTGACGACTAAAACCGTTAGACAATAAGTGATGGATTATAAAATTTTGAAAATGTCTTACCAAGATCCAAGGCAACAAACGTCGCTATGGTAACGAATGGGGTATATTTGCTGCTGTATGAATACAGGAAACCACCAAATGGATAACCGACTGTAAATGAACAAAACCATACAAAATATATGTCATTTACACCGTAGTTACGTAATGAAAATGGTTGTGCATACTTGTCGTAAGAATCTCTACAGCTATTGTTCATTTGAAAGTCAGCTTCAACTGAAAATACATATAATGTATACGGCTTTGGTTTCGTATTTCAACTTAAAATACAAATACACAATGTGCTGAAGGTTTTTGTGTGTGTAGTGCTGTTTAGCTATTAAAAAACATAAATGCGTTGTGTGACCTACGTTAAAATGCGAAGAAAACACTGCCACGAAAACCATCCTGTTTACAAACGTAACAATACAGGTAGTTCTATTATATCCAAAAAGACATTCTATCAGTTTCATGTTCTCTGGTATGCAGAATGTACTCTTATATAATTGGAGCAGAACAGCTGATGTGACAACCTTGGCAATTATTTATATACACCAAAAGAACTGTTATCAAATCCGCCCGTACACCAAATCGAATGTAGATTAAAACTAGCCTAGCCCTAAAACTATATACCCATGAACTGTTTTCTGATGTTTGGTAACAATAATCCTCCATCCCCCGTGTCGATCAGATGCATGGTTCACCCACCAATTACTTAGCTTATGAATCGATTATTTCACCTACAGTAAACGTCCGTCCTATGGGATGTAGAGTTCAGACCAAAGACTATTTTTTAATTAAATTAATTACGTATTGACTTACCCACAACACCTAATGCACTTCCACCCATCGCCATTCCCATGGCCCGACTTCTTTCGTTGTCATCTTGATAACGATCAGCGAGTAAACACATTCCTGTCATAAGTGAAAACAAATATATAAATGCAATTAAAATTAAAAACAGCTCAACATACTAATTGATAACACGTTGTTCAAAGAACGCTGCTAGAAACTGTTTATGTTAATGTTTTAGTCACTGTAACGCTGACATTGTTGCGCAACAAAATGTTTTGCTTATTTCAACCTTACGATTTGTCGGTCACGACACATAAATCTCAACACGCAGAAATGTATATATTCATAGTACATCAGTCAATTAGGACAAAATTATATTATCAATATTGCATTCTCAGGGTTTTTGTGCAATTATTTTGTAATATAATATAGAGCAATTGCAAATTTATCACAAGCACAAATTAGAGTCGATTTTCTTCTAGAATATGTCTATAGGCACTAGGATTACTTGCACCAATTGTCTAGCAAATTCCTCATGTATTGGATGTACCTGCTATTGTGGAGGCAGCAGACCCGATCCCTTGTATACATCTGGCTAACAGCAGTGGCACCATGGACGCAGCGAAGATGTAGACTAGTGATATAAAGGTTCATACCGTAGATAATTTCATACACGTTTCAATGAATATGTAAATGTTTGGGGGATTTCATAATATATTTATCTCCGATTGTTTCTGTAAAATCACTATATCAAATATCAATGACTAGAAAATAAACTTTTGAAAGTATGTCATTAAACATTTATATTTTTATTGTGTCCAGAGGCGTTGTTTCAGTAGGATAAATACAGCAAATTAATGAGACATATGCAAGTGTATTGTTACGTTATGCAAATGGTGAAATAATTAATATTTTTAATGGATTTGTTAAATCAAAGACTAAAAACCTTTATGGTTGTTTCAAATATAGAATCCTGATTATTATCATTATATTAGCACACTAAATGATTATAGTCTAATTAAAAATACTAACATTAAATAATTCAAGTAAGTTCGTACAAACAACGTTCAGGGTTTTAGGTTATATCTAAGAAATACAATGCACGAAAAAAATGCAAAGTGTATGCCTTTCGGGCAAAATTTGAAGGAAAAGTTATTTTTGTGTAATCCTGTACATACAACAACCTGATTTAGAACCAATTTTTCGAATTTCTTAATTGAATAGAAAGGTCATATCGGTCTTAAATCAGAAAAAGCTGACATCAAAGATGCTTACATCATACTATTTGTTACTACGTACAATCCAAATAATTATGACATTTTACCTGTCGTTAAACATTATGTAAATTGCATGAAAAACAGGGATAACATGAAATGTATTTTTGAAAAGAAGACGATTATAAACTGCAAAAGAAAACCCAAAAACATGAAACGTTTGCTATGTACATCTAAGCTTGATAGGAATACCACAAATGTTGTCACTGTTGTAAACATTTAAAAAATAATATGAAGATAAGGTGTGGTACGAAATTCAATGAATGAAAAGACTTGGTTTTTTTTGCAAATGGTTCCAAAATATTAGAGCAGACATCAACTGAAATAAATATTATATTTATCAATATATATCTGTAACTGTTATTTTCTCTTTGATATGTAAATACTGTGGAGAATTTTAAATATGACAAACCGGATATGAATTGAGACTACGTATGAATGTACATAGACAACAAATAAAGGACAATGAACTAAGATGTTAACAAGTTAGCAAACATATGCATAACAATGTGTTAAATGTAGATGTTTTCTTTGTCCTGGTATTGTTTGTGACATCAATATCATTGTTTAATGATGACGTCACAAACATTGTTTACGTAACTTATTGATGACGTCATGTGACTAACGTTGACTAATAAACATCAGTCCGCCTGAAGAAGCCTAAGAAGGCAGAAAGGTCTAGCGGTCAGTATTGCGTATTTGTTGTTTAATAATATAGATATATGAAAAAAAAAAAGTTTTTTTTTTTTTTTTAAATAACTCAAGTAAGTTCGTACAAACAACGTTCAGAGTTTTAGATTATATCTAAAAAATACCAGCAACAAACATAAGTCAACTAAGCTAGTTCTAATTTGATTGGAGGATAATGGCAAACTAAAATAATGTCCGGAATTACTTTTTGTCATGACAACAACGGAGAAATACAATGCACGAAAAAAAATGCAAAGTATATGCCTTTCTGGTAAAATTTGAAGAAAAAAAATATTTTTGTGTAATCCTGTACATACAACAACCTGATTTAGAACCCATTTCTCGAATTTCGTCATTGCCATGTTATCATGTTAGCTGAACCCTTAAGGGGACCACTGTATGCATGTCCCTAAGGTGGTCTATTAAAACAAGTTTGGCTGTATTTTATATTCAAAAACAGGAGCCTCTGAAAGTTTTGTTTTCGTATTCCAGTAATAATGTACTTTCCGACGATCACCTAGCATGCACAGAAAGGCTAATAAAATTGAATTATTAAATAAATATCGACTTTGGTAATATAAAACGAAGGAATGAATGAGGATTAATATGTGCATGTATTATGTATAATATTAAATAAAAGTAAATACTCACTTATAGAAGATAGCAGTAATGTGTTTGTTCCTATAAACAGGAGAGCTGTATAACCGAACCTTGAATGGAAACAAACAATTAAATATGAATGAACTAAGATATATAAAAATAAACATTAATACAGATTTTTGTTTAATTATTTAGATGATTGTAATATTGTCAAACAGGATAGTAGCTTCCAAAACAGAGAATTGCGATTGCGTGTTTCAGGACTAATACATATATATGTAAATATTCATTGCTTAAATCTTAAACAACTACAACCACTTTTAGTTGAATTGTTGACATTAAAAAGTCAATAACAAAAGCTGAGACACAAAACTGAATTAAAATCTGACGTCAACATCGTAATACATGTTTCAGCGAAATGTACCATTTTTACTGCATCATCATTCCATTTTGAAACTACATACATATATAAACTTAGAATTTTAACTAAAAGATGTAACCACCCAGGAAACACGAAAACGGCATAAAATGAGCAAAACAAAAACAAACCAAGGACATTATGAACATCACTAAACAATAAGGGCAAACGCATGAAAAGATCTTCATTCTTGGTAGACACTTTAATCCGTTAGATGGGGATGAGGACAAAATGCATCTAATTATATTTTTGTGTTTCAAATTGTAAAGCACTTATTTGTTCTTTGCTATGCAACAACTATAACAACGTGAACGTGTGATTTAGGAAAATCTTACATGATTAAGGAACTCACCTATTGCAAAGCATCCCAACAATTGGATTTGCGATAATTTGGATCAAAGCTTTCGATGATAGCAACCATCCAACTCTACTGTTCTCGTCCACAGCACTGAAGGACATGAGCAGCCGTTTGGCTAATCCAATATCAGTTTCGGATGTGACATTGCTGAGAGTTTTCACTTCCGGGTTCAGCACAAACATTGCATCCGTAACATTATCATAATTTCGGAAATGTCCTTTCCGTATTGTATCCTCTAAAGATTTCTTATCTAAGTCAATCAGGAGCTCCGGAATAACTGGAACTGAAATCAGAGGACAACACATTCACTTACAAAGCCGGCATTTGTCAGATACTTAAATATTCTATCGATGAAAAGACGAAATTCGTTTATGGTAAAAAGTAAAAAGTAAAAATGTAAGGATAAAAATAAGAAAAGAGGGATAATTACCCAAGCAGCAGAAACAACAAAACAAAAAGAAAAACATATTTGCCTCTTTCCTTTAAGTAAATATCCATTAATTTATCTTTATCCATCCGACGAAAATTCAGGTTTCAATACTGAAATTTTGTTTGTGGCTGGCGCTGTTTCCTAAGAATTAATATATTTATCACACATTCTGATATCTTACCAACTGCCGTCAGGAGGAGGTTGTCGAGCATATTTGTATAGAATACCAGAACAAGGAATGACACTCTCGATGATTTAGCCTGCGCAAGAAGGGATTGTCCATACTCGTTTAAAGATGTCTGCAATAGCGGCTGGTCAACGATAGAGGAAATATAATATCATATAAACGACGTGTTCATAAGTTGCAAAGATATATACCGATATATTTGTATGTCATGTGAATATAACGTTTCAGTTATAAATCACATGCTGGTTTTGTAACATTAGCAAATACAAGTAACGCGATCAGCGTTTTTAAGTAAATATAAAACAAAATGAAATAATTCCACTATTATAAAAAATATCAAAACAATTGTCATATTTTGTTCAAATTTCAGGGGGCAAAATAGAAAAATCATGTTCGTTATTTTTCTCCTTTTCCTTTTTTACATGGGTTACAACAAATTGACGTGTAACATGTTACAACATAAAGGTTGGTTGCAAGTACTCTTTGATGAACGTATGTAAATATTAACACGATATCAATGCTATAGTATTTGTATCAAAGACAGCGTTATACTTATTCATGTCACATTTGAAAATTTTAAACAAGTTATGTTTGTTCTGGTGAAGTGTAATCATGAACTGTGTTTGACCATATGGTATGACAACAGTATGTAATTATTAAGGTTATACATATAATATTGTATTACATTTGTATTTATATAAAGAAACCAGGAAATATTCAACAGTGATAAATACCTCGAATCTGTTCGTCTCTGTATTATTTTTATATACAGTTTTAGATTGGAAATACCTGCATCATTTGGCTGACTTGTCTATTTTTTTCTTGAATGTTTTCAATTAATTATTTATCTTTACTTTCACTTTGTTAAGAAGTATACATATATACCATAAAAATGCTTACCATTGTAAATACGAAAGATAGATTTCCAACTGTGGGCGATCTTCGGACTTGCCTAGTGTTGTAGTATCAGTACTGTCCAGAAACAGAAACAAAATCTCGAATTTTCTCCGAGGTGTCATAGAAATAGCGGTGCCGTTCTATCTATTTCACAGTTGACTGGGTGTGGTAATGGGATATTTGTGGAGTGTCGTTGCTGTCGAGCAGGACACTTCATTACATGCCTACAGATAGATGCCTCCATCACATTCCAAATTAATACGAGCTCTCGAGACATTATCTCGCTGAGAAATTGAAACATCGACGACACACCCAAAGTGATTTAATCAGATAGTAGTCAGATGTGTTTCGAGGAAATGCACTTTTTTCTCTAAAACTTACCCAGCTATATGGTTCACCCGTTAGCAGTATTCCGTTGTGGTCCTACTATAAACGACTTGCATTAGCAGAAATTATTACATTTCAGCGTTTTCCCCCCCTTTAAATCTTAGTTTGACCTAAACAAATTTCATTGAGAAACAAAGTGACACAAATGTACATAAAAATGTGCAAAAGTATTCGGTAACGACCTAAAAGCTTATATAAATCCATCTGCTTTGAATCATATATATGCATGTTTTGCACGGTTAAATAAAGCACACTATAAATTAGCTCTAAATTGCAATACCTTTTGCTCTGAGATGTATTGCCAAAAACAATATATCATTGTCCTCACTGACATACGGTATATTACAAATAGCAACCACAAATTTATGAGGATTCAAATTACAAAATGAACGCTACAAAACGTAGACTAGGATTTAAATCGTCAATTTCCAAAATGAAAATTTTGAGAAAGATTTTAAACATTTTACACATATGTCTGTTTGTTTCATGTCTAAAGATTGCATTTTATCCGTATACTTGAAGGTTGTTTTTTCAATTTCAATATATTTTTTTATATCAAAATTATGGAAGATTTGGGTAAAATTGTAGTCAAACTAACCAAGCTTTCAGCACCTTAACCACGGTATATCATGGTAACCTGTGTTAAGAAGGCATTGTCAGTACTAGAACATGTGGAATTTAACACTGTCTAAATATATCTGTCGTTAAATATTTTATTGCATTTTTAGTTAATGAACTGGTATTGATTTATTTCCAGAACCGAATCCAAACGCGATCGGACATTCGTTCTGAAAGTTCTAACTATCTAAATTGGAGATTCTATTACAAAATCAACTCTTCTCCGAGCAATCTAATTATGGCTGTTTAAAGCATTGTCACCCTAACCTCATAGTGTTTGTTTGACTATCTTATTTTAAAATATGTACATGTAAGCTTACAGTGCTTTTATATTAGTTTCAAGGTAACATAAGAGTGTGCCTTATTGAATAGATGCTATTAAAAGGACAGTCAGCTTGATGTCCATCAATTGAAATGTTTTTCGTCATGTTAGGGTAGTGTTAAATCCCCGTCAAGCTGTATTGAAAGTAAACGATTCATCAGGATTTATTGAATGTGATAGTTAATATCTCACATATACAATGTAAGTATGCTAACCTGATTATCTTTATTTCATATCATTAAGAATTTTTATTAGGCAGAGTTTGACCATCGACACATTGGACGTCATTTTGATAAGATAATTATCATTTTATTATGGGTAATTTACGTGCCGGATTATATAGCTATATAAGTATAGCCCTGTTCTAGGTAATATATATGACACATTGAGGCAAACTTAAAATCTGTTTTTTGTTAAAAAATGGTTTTAATTCCAGTATGTTTGTAGGCGTGTTTTTTTAAATACAACAATCTGTTGTTTCATGCCTCATCAGCTGGATGACAAGTCAAGTAAAACATTCGAATTCAATGATGCCATGATTTGATCAATTTTTGTTTACTACAGATTAAAAAAAATCGAAAAAAAAAAGTCTTGTTCATAACTTTTTATCATAATATTGATTCTGAATCAGTACCTGTTGATAAGGAATAAACATCCAGCGATTTATAATGACCTACATACGCGACGAATAATAATTCCATTGTTATTGTTAATTCACTTGCAATGTAACTGTTCAATATCCATGCTTATTTCCAGATCTGATGAGATATTTTTGGAACGTGTTATATTTGTAATCAATCTAGTAGGCAATTAGACATGGAACTTTGGTATGCGACGCCTTCCTATTTTTGGGAGAATAAACATTTAGGTTGTTTATCGAGATTATTGGAATATGATTTGGTTTATTGGGCGAGTCAATTTTTATAACTGCAATTCTGAAAATGGAATATAGTTCAGGATACGCCTGTAACCGTTTCAGGACAACTGTTACTACTCTCAATGTAATGATTGAACAAAAATACATTACCGTTAATTGTGTTTGTCATGTTTCTCGGTCAGTAAACTATTCTCTGCCTGTAACTTTCTTTATTGAAAGGCCAATATTTTTTTATCTTTTCTTTTAGATGTAATATATATATGATAGTATTTACAAAAAAAACTCTTTTTATACTTTTCTACGAATTATAAAAAACATCAGCGCGCATGTTTAGGTAAATAAGGTATAATAAGACAAAAGTGTCGTTGATGAATACTGATGTTACTAAATATAATCTTAACACTGAGCAACACCTTTTTACAGGCAGAATTAATATATATACTTAAACTCAATTAAGTTTGTAATATGCTTTGCCATAACGCGTATAAGGTATATATATAAGGATTAAACTGTGAACAATATGCGATATATATGATTTTACATGATTTTCAATTTTATAGGAGATTTATGAAACTAGTCTAAGAATTTTTCGATTTAGACGTGACATTGATTGGGTTTTATATATATCGAAATATCAACGTCGATACTAATATCAGTGTGCAGTGTGGTGTAAAGCCGACATGATAGAAAGTATCGGATTGACTTAATGCAGAAATAATTCAGGAAACCGTCAAACGCATCACCGGCAGGACACAGTGTCTCTTCCGAGCGGCACGGCCGTCCTGACAAGGAAGGGGGTCGATTGTTGGCTTCATCTTGATGGGGATATTATGAAATAAATCCAACGAAATGAAAGTATAGTCGGAACTAGTGTAGCTTTCCTGAGCAGATTGAAGTAAGGTTTTCTTGACTTCAGTAAATAAATAAATCTTTTTCCTTTGTATGGATACTTTCTTTGGTTGTAAATTGCACAAACCTCCGAAATCAATGTCGGCTATAAAAACAATAATATACGACAAACTTTTTCACGTGATTTGAGTCATATAGAAAAAACAACCCTTAAGAAAAAAATATGTACGTTACTTGATCTTATATTTGCAAATATGCCAATTAAAACAATGGCAGCTGCTAAAGGCAAATGACATGAACCTATCTACAAGTTAATTGTGTGAGTGGTATGTTTGTGTCGTTTCTATTTCACATTAACATCTAACAGAATGCTTGTGTTTACTGCAAAACAACAAAAAACGTGAATAGCTTACATAAAGTATATCCTTCTACAGATAGATGTTTACAGTTGAATCATGATTTGTGCTGATGTGACAGTACTTGGAGCTGACATGGTGGGTGTCGTCGATGAAGCAGAAGACGCTTACCCTTCCGGAACACCTGGTCTTACTGCCCATGTAAATATTTGCTATGTTCATATTTCCCTCCATTTGTATCGATTTTGAGTCCAAATTATGGTTTTGTTATCACTTCAGTGTCATCTTGTCGTGTCTTGAACCAATCTTTTTGTGTGCCAAAAAGGTTTACGTGATCGGGGTTCGATTCCCGTAACGGAGGTAAAAAAAGTATGGGGCCAACTGCCTCCGAGTAGGTGAGTATAACTGCGTTTTTCTCCTACATTCTTATATCTACGCCAACAAAAGTGATAAAGATACTGTAAATGATCGCGTTTTTCGCGTTGATTAATTATAACTAAACACAAAAATATTCGCACGGGAATATCTATTGATAAACTAAACAGATTATAGATAGATAATAGATAGATAATAGATAGATTTCAGAATGCAAATAATTCTACACCTTAAACATTGCCACTTCTACAGTACGTGCGAATGACTTGTTTCAAAAAATGTTTGTTACATTAATAGGTTTATACATACATAAATTAGGAATCTAAATATAGATAAGATGAACTAGATTTAGGAACCTAAAGCCTCCCTACTCCGCCTTCGTTCCAACAGATAACGGAACGGTGTCTCCATTGTTGATTATTTTAGTGATTTGTATTACGTGTTTTCAAAACTGTTTTTTCTTAAATATCTCTATATAATATATAAAAGTGAATCCTTGCAAACTTCTTTTTTTGTGTTTAAGGTCTATATACATGAAAATATATCTGGTTCAACAATTATCAAGTTCTTTAAAAACTTTCTGCATGAATTCCTCTGGTTAACGCGTCATGAAATATACATATTGATTGCGGATGTCAAATCACAGCATATCGAGTGTAGAAAATTTCAGAGGATACGTATGGATTTTCAACCATACCACATCAGTGTCGCTCAGAGTTTACAACGTTGGCTCCGGCGTGAGAATTGCCTGAATTTGATAGGAGACACTAAGATGAACTAGAATTACTCATTCTTCAGAATTACCTGCATGGATATGCTTCTGGTTTTTTGTTGATGTTCAAATTTTGGTCCTTTCCTATTGCCTTTACCTGTGTTTATTGTCTTTGCGTTTAATAAGCGTGGTAGAATGTTTCAATTTGTATCTATCATCAAAGAGTCCTACTATATTTGTACATCTATGGTGAAATTTGAGAACTCCTATTACGTGGTAGATCGATATAATAATCAATATACATATATCTGTTTTAGCAATAAGCGTTTTCCTAAATACTTTCTGCATGGATTCTTCCGATAAGTGTGCAAACTGATTGCGATCCAACCAGTACATATCTAGTGCTAGTTAAGACTAATCAATCCAATATCATCTACTAATTAAAGTCACGGTAGCATCAGATCAGAAAAAAAGCTACGTTTTGTTCCAAGTTTGTCTAGGAATATTTTATCTGACAAATCCAGCAGATGCCGTGAACGGAGAATCGACTTTTCTGTAGAACTATTACACCTTGTAAACTGCTTCATAGTTACTAACTAACCTTAATATCTTTTTGCCACCATTCTAAAATGTATCTCCAATGGGTGTGCAAAACGGCCTTGACAATGAGACGACCGTCACTCTCGTCCAATGGCTGATGTTCAAACGACGCGGACTGTCCGCTGTTCTCTCCCCTTTTCACTGATATGATAATTAGCGACGCCCAACGCCGGACGTACTATATCTGAACTTGTGTAAATGTACAGTAAAACCTCGATTAAGTGCCATCATTTGCCCGAAGAAAGGGTTGGCGTTATCAAGGGTTTTACGATAAATTGAGGAAATTGTAAAAAGGAATTATTACGTAATACTGAAAAAGGGATATTTACATATTTTGGCGGTAAACGAGGTGGCAAAAGAAACTAGGGACGATATATCGCGGATTCGCTGAACTTAAAGGTACATTCATCGTGAATACACGTTAAAACACAGACATTTTGAATGTCACAACAATGCAAAGAAGGAGTGCATATTTGAAATCAAACAAATTTGCCCCAAAATATTTTATACTAAACATATACACATATCTGTACTTACCGTAATCAAAATACATTGTTTAAATGAAAGCAAAGACATCATACATAATACGCATCATTTTATTGAAAATATGTGGCATTAAGTACGCTTATTTACATTGTAAACACATATAACACATTACTCCGATCACCTTGTGGAGCTTATAGTGGTCGTCAAAGTCAGTATTTAACAGTCGATGCAATTTTATAGACTCGATATATAAAGAGATTTTATAAAAAATGAAATTCTATTGCACAAAACATTCCTACACAAATACTTAGTTTAGTATGTATGGTATAAACACGCCATTTCCCTCTAAACATCGTACTTCTGTATATTCAAAACAGTTTGTGGTGGAAGGGAGCCAAATTTGGAACAGCTTACCAGTAGAAACACTACTTTCATCCTTCCCTTCCTAAATTCAAACAAAATATGATTGGAAACACTAGGAATACAGTTTGATTTTTTTTTTATTTTGATATCAAAGAAACCTTTCAATATAGCTTTTTGATGGTTATAGTTACGCTATATTAGCGTGTATGCTGTCAGTTTTTAGTTTTTGCTACATTAGTATGTATGTAATTAAGACATTTGGTCTTTTACTGAAAAGCATATTGGTTAAGCTTAGAATAGTGTATCTTTGCTTCTGTGATAATTTTAATGAAAAGTGAAAATGATCCTTTGATTGTATATATATTTAGTCTTATTACGGTAATTCAATAAGCTCAACTACTGTTATGCCTATGCTAACTGTGATAATAATTTGAATGTTAATTTGTTTACTGTAATATCAGGTTTAAACTAAACCTATTACTAACGGAGAACCCTGTGGAAGATTAGCTCTGCTTAAAAGGTTTTTATCCTCCATAAATAAAGTTTATTATTATTATTATTATAACTTACGGCAATACCGTATTAGTCCTTATGAAAACGCCTGTAATAATGATAGCAACGTAGTTGAGCCTCAATCATTCAGCCAATCTCATTTCTAGAAAAGATGCGTGGTCAATTTTAAGGGCTGCTTTATTAGGATGCGTTTGGGTAAAAAAAAGCAAACCGACAAATGGTGAACCTGTCGTTCTTTGTTAAGCAATACAATCATATGGAAATTGATAAAATAGAAATTTGAAAAAGCTGTTCCAGGAAGTTCCAAGACATAATTATAGTTGAACAACCGCAACATCATCTGAAGGTCATGCGACCACCTTTCCAATGGTCAAGGAAACGTGCCTCAAGTAACCAGGGGCTAAATCAGAGGAACAGTCACCTCCACACATGTACTAGTACGTGTCCTTGTAAGAGAAAATCACCAAAACTTATGGTAAACTTAGAGATATGTAAAACAGAAGAACATAAATCTAACTAACAAAACAAGATGGTGTGTCAAATCGATCCTTACAAGAGCATGTACGGTAAGCATTATGTATTTCGTGCATGACTTTTGTATACACATGAAAAAAGGATTAATTTCTCAGAATAGGTTCCGTCATCGCCTACCAGACACATTGGGTGCAGTCCGTTATCTCTCTACAGGCGAATAGTCCAGATGATATATTTGTGTTTGCAATCCATAAGTTGACGCCTACTGTATCGATACAGTACGTCGATATGTATTTCATATGATCCGTCATACATTGGTATAATTTTGTGCAGACGATGTCTGTTCATACTATGTTAAAATATTTAGGGATGAGTGAACTGTCCCTTTCGATAAGACATCGCCTGGCATACTCGCAATAATTTGGCTTAAGTTCCTGGTATTAAAACTTGAAAACAGAAATATGTTAAACATGTAATTGTATCATTTTATATAATTACATTGCAGTCATGTGTTCCACCCATGGCGACATCAGAAAGAGGACAACAGCAGATATGACACCGTAGACTTCGAGATGACATTTTGACGTCACATTGAGCGGCGTTGATGATTGGTCAGAACAAATATCCTGTGATGTGGTTTCAGGATCCAGTAGTTTCCGTTCACGAAAATGAAAAAAAGACATTTTTGTTCCTCTCATTCGTCCACACATCAGAAGAAAATAAAGACTCACTGTACGACTTGAGTTTGTGTGATCATTAGATGTATACACATCATTTCACGTATACCAATCATTGTTAGCACTGAAGTCAATGTCCTGGCTCCATGCGGTACCAGAGGAAAGAACACGTGAAATTGATAAATTAATTACAATAAAAAGTGAATGTATTGTGATGTTAATTACATGTCACACTGTCTGACTCGTGCCGGCAGAACCCTCTGCGCCAGTACCAGTACCAATGTATTTTGATGTTTCGCTCGTGGCGACATACTTCTTGCTCACTTCAGTAATTTCAGCAGGTTTTAGTACGTCGTCGCAATGAAAGATACTTTTAAATTCCTTTCGGAATGCTTTGTTGAAGAATCCATATATAATTGGATTCTGACCCGTATTTGCTAAAGCTATGATGATCGTGATGGTGAACTGTGTCGATGTAATGGAATTTAAATACACTGCAAGGAAACTGACAACAAAAAATGGCGACCACATTATTACAAAAGACACTACAATCGCGACAAACATTTTTGTGAGCTTGAGTTTCCTCCTCGTTCTCATTTCTGATCTGGTGAGACGTCCGGTGCGTCGCAAAGACCCTCGCACGAAGTTGAAAATCTTATAATAGTTTATGATAATAATCATAAGAGGGGCGACAAAGAAAAAAGTGACCATGAATGACAAATAGACGTCAATATGGAAATGTTCTGGCCACATAATACCACAGTAAGTCAGAGTGACGTTATCCCAGACTATCTCGCGTTCCAATTGTGCCCAGGCTATGGGTATGGGAAAACTTGACGAGAGCACCCAAATGGCCAGTATCACAAAGCATGCAATTTCTTTGGTCATCTTTTTACTTGACAGTAAACAAATGCTGAAGAAACGTTCAATGCTGATCATCATTAAGGTCAATATTGAGGATATTCCGGACACGAACTGGACATAAGTGACCAGCTTGCAGACGACATTTCCAAACACCCACCTGTGGGTGACGCGTGTAGCCATAATGAACGGAATCCACGTAGCAAACAAAAGGTCGGCTAGAGCAAGGTTACCGATAAAGTAGTTGGTGGTTTTCCTCATCTTTGGATTCCTATATATTGCCAGCATCACCTGGAATGAAGGTTACAATCAATCAGTTTTTGAATTAGCATGGCATTAGTGTTAAATTCACTAGTAATTAATTACTGGCATTATCAACTTACCCAGAATTTTCTTAGCGTTATCGATGCATGTATTCATCTTCCTAATTTTGTCAAGCAGTAATCATAACTGAATCTGAATTGCAATCATTAGCGATAAATCAACAAGTTTCACAAAAGGTCCTCTCTTTGAGAAGGGATTGATCCCACACAAGGTAAACCGTTGTCGTTAAAATATGGGGATATTTATAGTAAAATGAAACATTGAAATTCCATGTAATCACGTTGTTTTAGATAGAAAAGAGTATCAGACACCTGTATACCTAAAGTTCGTCAAGAGGGACTACTAGTTACGATGCATGTGTAGTTACTGGTAACGAGGCTTTTGTAGTTCTATGTAGACTGGAGAGGGACTACGGGTAACGAGGCATCTGCAGTTCTAGGTAGACAGGAGAGGGACTACGGGTAACGAGACATGTGTAGTTCTTGGTAGACAGGAGAGGGACTACGTTGCAACCAGGCATGTTGAGCTCCTTGATGCATGGCTTTAAATGGGTTACAGAAGAGGGGTTCACGATAAAGCTTCTTCCCGCCTCTTTGACAACAGGAGAGAGACAAGGTGAACGAAATATCCGACACGTAATGGTAGGGAGAAGGACTACGAACTGGAGAGACACATCATTCACATCTTAAACAAGATATTTAGAGCTTTATGGTAACAGTGTAACAGCGGGGCTACTTGGCGTACAGGCGAAAGTTGATCACTATAGCAACAAATATCAATAGATGTCNACACATCATTCACATCTTAAACAAGATATTTAGAGCTTTATGGTAAAAAGAAGACTTCTGTGTAACAGCGGGGCTACTTGGCGTACAGGTGAAAGTTGATCACTACAGCAACAAATATCAATAGCTTGGTTCATAGCTTGTTGTTTCAGCTATATAGTTTAACACCGCCGTCTGGCGGGCGAACAGGTATTTACTAATAGCAGTTACAGTCTACTTATACACATTACCAAACAGTATAGTGTTAAGCGAAAACGGTGATAACAGGACGTGATAGTTAGAATGTGAAAAATAATTTCTGTGAGGTTTCGATATAACGGTTTTGTATAGATTACGGTCATCACACGGTGAATATATTAACAGGTAGTCATTTTAGATAGTGGGTCGTTATAGACAGGTTTTCAAACCTTAAATATACATACCATTCCGTTTCCGATGAATGCCAACACCATAATTACACCCAGAACCAAAGCCTCGATTGCAGCTTGACCTACATATAGACAAAACAACAGGTCTAATTAATTAGTTGCTACAGTGTACATGTATTCAGTTTTATGATGAGGTTTAAACATGAACTGTGATTTGATTTGATTTTTTTTTTTAGTTTTGCTATTTAATGTGTTTATGTACATCAGTCGAATGTTTCATTTCAAACCTGAAACAAACTTTGCATATACTAACCGGGTCCGTATTCATGAAACCATTGTAGCTAAAAGTCAGGTGACATTGCAGGAGTTGACACTGGAAACATTTTTCGGTTTTAAAGCACTCGCCGATTATTCTAAATCATTCACAAAATGTGAAGTTTCATGGATTTATTAACAGATATGGAAATTCGGCCCATGCACGGAATTTAAGTTGGAACATGAGAATGGTTTCATGAACACGGGCGCGGGTCACATTATATATCTCATGACCCCGCTCCCCAGCATATATAGTTTCTCATTTATCACTAATTTCAGTTAGAACAGCTGTGTAAACGGTGATTGTACCTTTGTCATACACATAAAGAAAGGGTTTTCACCACCTTTAGATAACAATGTCTGTATTATTTATAAGTATAAGTTTAAAACTCATATCATTACACACTAGACAGTACATTTAAAGAAAGATAGAATACTTTTCCACGGGTTAACTTCACGCTCAGTGCTTATTTAAGATCGTCTATAACACCAAAGTTATTTTTGCAATGATATTTCGAAAATAAAGTGTACTTTTTATGTGACTTCCTAATTTGAAATTTTATCAGACAAGGACAACTGATATTTCATATCCCTCAGTTATTTTATATTTAATATTGACAGGTGATCTTATACTACTTCCGAAAACGCTAATCGTCATTTCAAAAGCATACATATTTTTTCTAGAATGTTTTTGACATGAGATGAATTTGCATCCAAAAGGTTTGTGGTTTGTTAGTGTCATTTATGTCGAAGGAGACCGGGTATCACTTTGATTTTTCCTTATTCGTACATTTCCATTGTATAACCTTTTTTTATAAATTTATCTACAGAAAAACCTGAAAGGAAAGCATGGCCAACGAGAACAACGACGCGTATTCAAACAAGAAGCGGTTCGGGTGTTTCCGTCATATTGTTTTTGTGAAATTGTAGACCTATACCATGTCATGGCGTTGGATTCATACCTTTAACTAGTTTTTGAATGGTTTTCTATTGATATTTGTCACCTGACATGTATGTGTCTAGAACGAAAACATTTTATGATTTTTGAAGTAAGATAAGGAGTGAAATGCACATCACCGTAGTAATTACTATTTAAGATGGTTTCCAACCAGACTGATTGCAGAAACAATCTCAAAGATGCGCTACCTTGCATCGTGTCATATGTTTGTAAGCGTCTAGGATTCATACCAACATAAGTATGAACAAAATATATTTTTTTCATTCATAAAGTATACAATGTACTTATGGTTGAGCTATATTTGAAATAAGTTGCGTGGGATTGAAATAAATATTATTGATTGTATGCATATAGATACAGCTATCTCTGTAGGTATCAAAACTCATGTTCTGAAGAGTCAAAAACGTTGTTTTTACGTCATATCTGGGGGATCGGTAGTCACTTGCTCCCTACGATTCTGGCCTCGTTTGTGTACACAAATTTGTAAAGGGGTTTATGTAACATGCAATGCCATTATGAGGTCGAAAACCAATGTCTGACCTTCACCTTGGCACTGATCCTCCCACAGGTTGTGGTCATGCTAGTGAATCATAATGGTAGAAACACAGGGTCATGAGAATTACGTCTGACAATAAGAATATATATAGAGAGAGATAGTTTAATGGAAGATGTGTGTGACACAGTATTATAATATTTTCCTTGTCAATGGCTTAAAACAGCCGAAAAAATGCCACTTCCCACCTACCCTTATTACATTGTATTTGTCGACCGTTGCCATCTCTACAACGTAATAACCATTTTCCCCTTAAGCATCAGAAAATTGTTTCTACACAAAACTGGGACTTAATTATAATGTCCCTGTGCTATTGGTGCACATGTACGCAAGGACGCCAAATCATTCACACTATATTATCTTTCCCGAGTGAATTGAACGCCCCCTACATTGTATTGTCATTCTACGATGGAAATCAATATCGTTAATTGTCCAATTTCAGGACATTCCGCGTAATCTTCTGCTCATTAGGCATATATTGTGTTAAGGTAAATAGAACCATAGAGTTAACTCGCCAAAGGAAGTAAATCTAAGCCAGAATTTCTCATTTAAATTGCTTTATCTTCCATTGAAAAGGGTGGAATCTAAAATCTAAATAGAAAAACAGCTCTGATGTGGATCTCTTAAAGTCTCATAAAGGATTTGTGATCAGTGTGGGATATCAAGTCATTGAGTAGATTTTCTATTGTATCTATGATTGTAAACAATGGAGTAAACTACAACTGCAAAGTGCTACAAATGTAAAAAAAAAATAAAAAAAAATATCATACATCCGTCACAGCAAAGCAGAAGGAAGGATGCTAACTGCATCTATTTTTCATGAATGATCTAGCAAAATACAACATATTTACGCGTGGAAAAGCCTACACCTCTCCTAATAACGCAGGTGAATATTGTAACTTGTATTTACCCTTATCTATTACATTTAAACATTACTCCGAAGCGACTTGGTTTTCTGTCACTTTTCCGTGCGGAAAATTATGTAATAAAAGCAGAAAAAATAATAGCCGGGCTGGGATTCGAACCCAGAACCCTTCGAGCTCTAGACGGACGATCTAACCAGTTTGAGCTACATGTACCCAGTTGCCGGTGATCGATCCAGTCCAGTTTTGCTACAATCATAACAAGCACTGATTGCCAACCTTAAAATAACGGAACTAAACTTTTCTTTGATAAAATGATACGATGAACTATGTAAAAGTGTCATAGTTTACAGAACTGAATATAATGAGGAAGATATGTAACAAGTTTCAGGAAGATCACCCATTAGTTAGTACTGATCAGGTAGCCTCTTTCATAGATTCGTAGTTCGAAGGCAGACGCACATGCTGAAACGTAGTACGCAGGTACACACAAATTGGTCTGTATCGGGGAATCGAATCCCGGTCATCTAAGTGAAAGGCGAGTGTGCAATCCACTGTGCCAATACGTAGTGCACAAGACCACGTAGTACACAGGTACACACGCCTTTCTCTGTAAGTTCATCTACGTATTACGCAGTAACAGCAACGGAAGCCAATTCAAAGTTACGTTAACAATTCACTATGGTGTTAAAAGTAATTTCAGACCGCCAAGTATGTATTTATAAATTCAATTAAATAAATCATCGGTGGTATTACTAACACTATAAAACACCCCCTCGAGACAAATTTAATCATTCAAACGTAATGTTTTGGACTTTTACCAGGATAACGAGCGTAAATCATATTACGGTTTTCCAATAGAGGTGATTGTGTATGACTTTACCACGATGTTAATCATTTTTTGAATAACTTACTTAATTTCATTGAAACAAATATAATTTCTCAAACACATTTTTAAAGGAATACAAGCTATATTATTGATTCTGATATTCAGTAAGTGAATTATTACGAACACATATTTTGAATAACGAAAGACGTATCCGTTTAAATTGGGAAAAAATGTACAAAACAGACATTTAGTGTTGTCTTAAACTATCCATTTATGGAGTCCAAAACATATAAAAATGTTTTCCTGATTCGAAAAACATCAGGCAATCATAATTGCGACGGGAAGGTCAACAAAAGCCAATAACCTATACATTAAGTATAAAGTGGTCGGGTGGTGCAGTGGATTGCGCAATTGTCTTTCACCAAGGCGACCGGGGTTCGATTCTCCGATCGGACGTGAAAAGGCTAGGGGTCAACTGCCCGACTACGTGGGGTTTTCTCCTGATACTCCGGTTTCCTCCCACATTAAGACCCCAGCGCGCTAACAACAGGGCAAACAAGAGTGATGACTATAAGTTGAAATAAATTGTTTCGTAATTGTTGTAAAATAAATAAAGTTACATTTACTGTTAAAGGTTTCTTCATTGGTACAATTTTTCTCAAAAGTTCAAGTTTTTTTATTTTACGATTCATTAGTTTCAAAAGTGAAAATTTTACAGTTTTTACAATACTTAAATACACTACAATACATTGCCACACCAACAGTATACAAACAGAACGGAGAGTGCAACGAATTGAAAGTGTTTTTTTTCTTACACTTTTATATATTTGGCCAAATTGACTAGTTCTTCTGTGATATTTACATCAAATAGTTCTATCATTTTAAAGTTATTTGGCTTTTTTAAACAGTATTTTTTTTAAACTTTAAAATGTTAATCAGAATAACATGGACATTTCAACATAAAATAAAACGTATCTTCAACATCATTTAAATTACATAATAAAACAGTTACAGAATGGAAACTAGAATAAAGTCCCTTCTTAGCAAACCCTTTCGCCTGGCATTTGAAATCGGGAGATAATTCCCTAGGTTGGTCGAAACACATAACATACAAGTATGAAGTATTCTCGGATCAGACAAGACACAAACTATCTATTTACTAATATTCGGAATAAGACTCACCAGTTTGGTATGAATAATAAAGGCTAAGTTTGTTTTGAACACATACAGGAATTGAAAACTTACTTCTCGAGATTTCGAAGAGAAAAGCCATTACACACCATGCTAACACGCACAACATTGACTGGAACAACTCAAAAGAGCTTGAAAGGGAGGACAATTTGAAAGTCAGGTCACCCTCCCTTGACTGCCTGCGGTGTTAGAGTGCAATTGGGCAAAATGTCTCTATGCTTTTTGACAGATGACTTTACAGATTCAGCACACTGTGGCTTAGTGAGTTGTTTTCAGGGGTTAAGAGTCGAGACGCCGGTGATTTGCACTCTTTGCTTGACAAAGGAATTTGACGCAATATAAGTTTTCAGTTCCTTTTTGTGTTCAAAATAAACTGAGCCTTTGCGTTCAATCCGGCTAGTCTTTTCCCCCTA